AGCTCTGTATGGCAGTTTCCTTCCTAAAAAAGTGTTATAGGTGATCATGTGAGGTCTTCGATGTCCCCCACGATTTCGGGGAATTTTTGGACGCGTCCTATTGGCAAATCAGCCGTTCTTGATCACATCTCCCCTCTGTTGTGTAGTTTGGGGCCATAGCACACAAAATCGACCCAAAATGTATTTAAAATTGCTAATTAACTCTGAAAGAGCACAAGATGTCCTGAAATCATATCAGTGGCTAGAATTTCATGGTAAAATACCGTCGAAGCGTAGAGGAACAGCGTATCTCCGACATGACCGAAAAGTAGCATCTAAGCGCCGGTGCGATTGCTCCCTCCAGATATGGTAGGAGGTGCGCGTTATCTCTGGGAGATAACGCGCTACGGCGCCTCCCAGCTACGCGCGCCTCCCAGCTCCGTCAACTTTGAGCGGCCCTATTATCTATTCGGTCGTTGGCAATGTATGACTAGTGGGACGTTCACGGGGCTGTCCTTGCTCGCAGCGAGCTCGGGCAGCTTCTGCCATTTTTTTGGAAGTGGGACAACAGACGTAAGTCAAAAGCTCAGAAACAGCATAAGGAACTAGTTTCGCGTTCCACTGGACTGTCAAATATTCCGGCCGGTTTGTTGAAAGTCGTTCGCGCCCGTTCTGCCTTTGCGAGGATCACTATACTTACACTGGAGTGAAGAGCGCCTACTTCGAATCCGCTATTATCTGTATAAGCGCCCGCCGCAGCTCTTGGCGGCCCTGGTCCCGGTGGCTCCTCCTCGTACCACCACTATCCGCTCCTCCGTCCATTCCAATCCACTCATACGCTCGGACTCTGCTAAATCGCACAACCCGTTCACTTATCTATCAAGACCCTCAAGCGATAGTCGAGCAAGAAATAAACTCTGGTCTGCTCTTGTCTGCAACCCCTGCGCCTCGTGTGTCTCGCCGGAAACCTTCAAGACACAGTACTCAGTCTCCCCAAACCACCGACCTCGCTTGCGCCGCGAAACAAACGCTACACCCGGGCCATTATGTCTGAGGCCCCGGCTCAGATCATAGCCATCCTCTACGTCATTGAATCCTCCCTCACTCTCGCGACGGAATGGCCTCAGGTTCAGGCGGAGTATCTTGTCCCGCTCTTGCACAGACTAGGCGAGCTGCATTCGACTACGCTTGTACGTCTTTATCACCCTGGGTATCGCATTATCTGACCCCCTTCCAGTTTAGGCTCGCGTTCGTGAGCTATGGGACCGCGGATACTATGCCTACGCCGGTCCTGCACAAGACCTTCTTCAGCAACCCAACACCTATGATGAACCAGATGCGCGAGGAGCCACATAAGCTGGGCATAGGCAGTACGGGCTCTGGCGACGGCTATGGCATGGCGGCGTTGGAGGGTATGGTGGCCGCATTGGAGGTAAGTCCATTCCATCTGTACGCCATTCCATACAACAGCGGGACCATCTCGTGTAAGACGCATATGAAAGGCGAATCAAGCCGTAAGCTTTAACCGAAGAAGATGCGGTTTATGAGAGTATCACAAAACCGGACACAAGTATAACGCACCATAGCTTAGGGAGCAATGGGTGCACCGTGAGCACCTCCTGTAATCAGCGTGCAGTTTGAGTGGCGCGCTTCCTAGGGCATCATGAAGTTCTTGGTCTTCCAACCATTCCTGTCTTTCTATGCCAAAAGTCTCGTTTCTTCGTGCCTTCTAATATAACGGACTCTTCGCTCAGTACTCACGCTACGCTTCATAGCTATTCGATACCCTGAAGTCCTCGATCGAGGTAGGCTCTTCCACTTCTACGAAAGCGACCATGTTTACACATAACAAGGCAGCCCTTAGCGTGCCATATCATTCATTTGGCGGCTACACACCCTGATCCTGCCGAACGACCACTATGGAACGTCTCACCAACGTTAGACTCCGTCACCTGGGACACATTGCCAGCTGAAATCAAGAAGGTCCGTTCATGACCAACCCTTCGCGCGAGCTGCTTCCTCACTTCGACTTCAAATAGCGCGGGGTCCACTACAGCAATATATTGCTCCGTCCCATACCGCGCCTAACGCAAGTGCAAGCTGCGGTAGGCTGCTATCTCTCCTTCCCTTGTAGAATTGCGGTTAAGCGTTCTGCAGACCGTTGTGGGACCCGCACATGGTGCATGGTTCCCGATTCGCTCACCACACGCCGTCAATCTTGGGGGCTTTCCGCAGAAAGGTAATCGTAGTCCTGCCCTCTAGATACACTCATTTCTCATGCACCCGCCCCTACAGGTACCAAACGCACAGGAAGCGCTGATAGGAGCCCGGAGATCGCCAAGCGGGCGAAGATGCTCCTCTCCTCACCTGTCAAGTCCCCTGCCGCTGCCTCGCCTGTCCCTCATTCGTCCCCTCCACAGCCACCACCGCCCGCCACCAAAACACCATCAATCGCCCCCGCCGCCCCGCCCGCCGCTCCGTCTGTACCTACCGCTCCTGCTCCCGCTCCTGCAGCCCCTGTCGTGTTCCATCCGCTCCCGCCTATACTCGTTGAGCGCTATCGCCAGATAGAACTTGTACTACGCGGTCAAGCCATGAGGGCGCAAAAGTTCGAACAAGAAGGCAATCTGCAGACTGCAAACCAGATGCGTATAGAAGTCACGAAGCGGATTGCATGGTTCAAGGAGCAGAAGGAAAAACATATGAGGGACCCGGTGTTGGCAGCCGCTGCTGCCGCGCAGGCGGAGGAAGCCGCGGCGAAAGCCGCCGCCGCAAGGGCCGGTGCTGCGCCAGCTGCGAATGCGCCCCCGGGGCAGACCGCAACCGACCTGGCGGCGAAGATTGCCCACGGACAGCCGGGCCCGCCTCCTGCCGCCGCTGCGGGCGGACAGAACGCTTCTCAGCAGTCCACGGGCCCGCCTCCCGGTATACAGATCCCGCCGAACATGACACCAGAAGTAGCCGCGCAGATGCAGAAACTGATCCAGCAGACGAACCGACCGGGGCATCCCAATATGCCCCCTCAGCTTCCGCTCCAGCCTCAACAGACCCAGCCCCAAGCGCCAGCGCCAGCGTCGCAGCCGCCACAGCAGCAGCCTACGCCTGGCCCTGGCCAAATGCCACCAGGGTCGTGGCAGGGGATGCTTTCCTGGAGAGGGACGGACTCGGAGACGCATATCAGGAAAGACGTGCAGGCACGAGTGATAATACACGGCCAAAGACCGGACGCTATGTATGTGCTCTCTGGTGGTACAACATGTGGTACCCGCTAACTTTCATACAGGCGTCTGGAGACATGGCCTGCTATGTTATCGCTCGCACCCTCGCAGCATCATGCGGTCCCCCCTCAAGTGCTTCAACCCTGGCTGTTGCGACACAATTGTGTCCCACTGGCGGTAGTCTCGAGTCCAAAGGTGCCAGACCCCAAGGGTAACCAGGAGCACTTCAGCGCGCTCGTCCGCCTCCTCTCGGAGAAAAATCTGGTCAGTTTCACGCAGGTTAACGTGACACCAGTTCCTGCCGCTCATGCTTGCTTGCTACACAGTACGCACTCGCTGCATGGAGTGGTCCAGACGGTGTCCAGGAAAACCGCGTGCTCATCTTCGTGATGAAAACTAACCACCTCGCGGGTGCATACTTCCCGATGGCCGGCGGCATTCCCGAGCTGCCGAAGCCAGAGGTTGCGGTCGCGGGGCTACCGCCCAGCCTACCTCCACAGGTCGTGAACATCCTGTCGAGCCTGAATCCAAAGGAGCAGGCGATGTTCGCGTCACTCACCGCCGACAAGAAGATGGCCTGGCTCAAGTCGGCGGTGCAGCAGCGCGCCGCCGCGGCAAAGATGCAGCAGCAGGCCCAGCAGCAACAGCAGCAACAACAGCAACAGCAGCAGCAGCAGCAGCAGCAGCAGCAGCAGCAGCAACAGATGCAGCAAATGCAGGCCGGGCCTTCGCAGATGCAAGGCTCGTCGCTGCCCCCCTCGCAGCTGCCCATGAACGTCACCCCAGGCGCCCTCAACCCATGGCTGCCAAACAACGGGCCGAACATCCCCGCGATCCTCAGCAAGTTCGCGCCGGGCGGCGGGAATGGGCCCATGGGCATGCCGAATTCGACGCCGAGCCCGGCGCAGCAGCAGAACGCGATGATGAACCTCGCGGCGGGCATGAACTTTGGCACGATGGGCGGAATGGGCGGGATGGGCCAGATGCAGCCGGGCGCGCAGGGGATGCACAGGCGCACACCGAGCGGGGGTGCGGGGCCGGGCGCGGGGCAGGCGCCGCTGACGCGGGAGATGATGCAGTCGTTCATGCAGAGGAACCAGGAGGGCGGGTCTAATGGCGGTATGGGTGGGATGTAGGTTAGGGCGGAGATGAGTTAGCTTCGTTGTCATTTCTTGGGTTTGCCGTGTACGATGATCGCAGAGGAACGCCTTTGGAATTGGTGCCCCGCGCGCAAGACGACGTTACTATTGCTACATGCATGGACAAAGTGCGAGGTTGGTAAAGTACATGGAGGTGGTACAATTTTAGCAGGCTTCACTTCGGTTCTCCGTCCACCCGGGTTCTCTTTTTGGTCCCACAATCCTGATGAGGCTAGGTTCCCGGCGCGCTCCAGTTCTCGTTTAAGCCTTGTATCTTGTCGTGATCCGCAAGGTTCGGCTTGGACTCGTACACCGTAACGACAGGCTCGAATTTGCGCTGGTCGCGTGCACTCGACGTGAGCCACGAGCGCAGTAAAGGAACCAGTGTCCGAAAGTAGGTGCTCACCTCGCTCCACTGCCCCAGGAAGCCAACGTAGTAGATGCGCGTCGTTTCCGCCCCTTGGGCCGCAGGGAAGAACAGAGTGACGGAGGTGACGTTGGGGAACTTCGCCGGCCTATGTGCGTTAAGTGGGTTGAAATCAGGGTGCTGTGTACGGATACATCTCCGGGATGTACATACATGACGTGGTATTCGCCGACATCCCGGCCCTGGGGTATCGTAAATTCCTGGACGGGCTTCATGTCCTCGACTTCTGAGAAATCCAGATTGTCGATATTCGGAAACTGCATCGGGCGTCCAATATTTTTAACAGTCTCACTCATGAACTTGAGAAGCATCGCGTACCAGTGCCAGTTTAGTCGGGGTCTGGTCCGCAGGCCCGGCTTTTATTAGGATTGCACGCAGCTTGACGGCTCCAGTGAACGGGATGCGGATGATCCTGCGCGTCCGAGGAATGAGCTAACCGTAGACGTGCCCAGCAGCTGCAAACGCTCGTACAGTTGGTCGTCAGCGTCGGATTCTAGATACTGCCACAAAAAGAAGTAAGCTCCCGGTCTTCCTATAAAATTTTCAATATGATCCCTACCGTCTCTTCGTCCAACCTCTGGTCCCAAGGCTTGATCACTGCTGGACCCATCTCCGGATCCTCAGCATTCAGCGCAACGACGTTTGCGCGGTCGATGCGCGCGTACAGGTTGTCGCGATGCCCGATGTCTTCCGGGAGGCCATGCTGGTGGTCATGGTGATCGCTCCCGTCGTGGCAGTCTCCGTGAGAGTGGTTGTGCGCCATCGTCGTTCACTTCCAAGCTGTATGAGGAGCTGTTGCGGCGCGGGTGGAAGTATCCACTGTGAGCAGGTCCTCGGGGTCTCTGGCACATGTGCAAACAACTCCAAACAATGCCCTCATAAAATTTGCTCGACCGGGCGCAGACGAGCGACGGCCTGGCCTCTCGCGTTATGTCTTCCTGTGTTGCGTCCTCCCTGGTTGTTCCTCTGACATATGTGAGTGTCGTCTTGCGTTCTTCTCAGATCTTGCATGATGGTACTATAGTAATTTGCGTTCGATGGCCTCCGTCCTCACACCAAAGGGGCGTACACGCCAGTATGCCCTGGGGTCGGGGGTATGAGACAACTTTTACACTTCTGATACTTGCACAGTCAAGCAAATTTCGACGCATTGCTGACTTATCTATCGTTCTCTAGGCTTGTCTCGATGCAACCGCTGTGGCCGCGGTTGGCAGTATGTAAAGGCAAACAAATGTGTCGTGTTTCCGTCAATCACAATGTGCCCATTCTGTCCTCACTATCCCTGTCGTGTGGATATCCCTCGGGCGTGTCGCTCAAGGGCCGATACGGGCCCGTATCCGTACTTTGGGCTTTCAGGCGGACTATAATCGAGAGTTCGACCACGGTAACAGTGTGAGTGCTAGAATTTGAAACTCTGATGGGGCGTTCGAATTCACACGTGCCCGCTGTATAACCGAAATATATCGTTCCTTTCATGGAGATTCAGCACGACACAAAGGTCCGAGTCGTGCGACAGGAGACATTAGTTGTACAAGTCGTCGTTCATCGTGCCTTTCACGTATGCTTCCAACCGTCCCGCAAGCTCCACATAGCCATCTCGTACGGTCGTAAGCTTTCTGAGTGTAAACTGTCGATTAAAGGTAAGCAAACATTCAAACCTCTACACGCGACAACGCCTGACCTTGGTCACTGATATGTCTTGAACCACATAACACGTCAGCTGCTCCCTGCACACCAACATATCGTTCCTGAGCTTTGATAACGTGAGCAGTCGTTGGGTCTCAAGAGGGTGTGCGACACTTACATATCCCCAGACCTGGGCAATGGCATCGATCTTGTCGGCGAGGTTCTGAACTGCTCGGGAGGTATTCTCCACCGTGTCGCCATCAAGGCGCGTGCTCCCCCTCTGCACGGCTCCTTGGGCAAATTGACTGACGTCCTTGACCAAGTCAGCGAAGTCGTCACAGCTCTGGCGCATGGCCGCGGCCTTCTGGTCCGACTCCTATACGAAGACTCGGTCATCTACGGCCCTGACATCGGGGATGCGCTGCCTCCATACCTGCGGAAAGGCTTCCAGCCCAGCGTAAAGCTGGTTATAACTCGATTGGTCTACCACAGCCTGGACCGCCAAGCCGTACACTACACAGGTGTCACAACATAACGTGAGCAGTAGATCCTGCAGGAGTCTGGCTAGCTTACGTTGCGTCAGCGCCGCTGCGCTTGCAGCGTTGTCCCGACTCCGTTGTATAAGGGTCAAGAGCCGCTGGGATCGCAGGTCAGCCTCCGAAAGACGCCGAACCTAGCACTCGCGGACCTCGTGGTACGTGCGCCATTGCGATGCGAGCCGCAAGGCGTTGCCGTGCTCGTCGAGGACCCCGGCGTCGTCGAAAGCGATAAAGGTAAGGGCCAATTTCTGGGACATCCCCTTGATACCGTTAACGGCCTTTACCAGTCTGTTGATAGTCTCCACTCCGCGGTTTTCAGGCTCGAGCAGCGCCTGAGCAACTTGTTCGGCCATGGCAGCATAGTTCGAGCTGTCGTTGGACGAGGTATCGACAGCGAGCTTCTGTTCGGACACGGCGTCCGTAGACGATGTGATGTTAGAAACGGTAGCCATCAGGAGTGCAGGGATATATAATAGAGTTGGGTAGCCGTTCAGAGGGTTGCTGAAGAGGACCTAGAGGACTGATCTGGTAGATGGTTCGGACAGTACTAAACCGCAGCCAGTTCAGTCCTTTTATACCATCTGGGATGCTGGTAATGCTCAGTGTCTACAAAAGAAAGCGATGAGACGACACGCGCGAGCACTGGCTCAAGGCACCCTCGGTGCAACCGAAGGCCGGGATGTGGCGTTACAGGTCTGAAGGGTCGACGTCCAGAAGTCAGCCAGGAACAGAGGCGGGTGTGAGGTACGACTGGCGTCTCTCACCGCTTTCGTACCTTTCCGGTGTCGTTCTGACCAGTATGTCAGCCATGAATGGTGCCTTTAGAGCCAACGGAGCGCTGCTCTATTGCAAGTGAGCTCCAAGTATGGACATCTGTGGAGAACACTAGCATGTGGGAGTAGCCTAGCCGCTAGGCAGCACCCCTTCGTAGGATGAGATCTTTGAGTGCGCTTTTCAATCCATAATGGTCAAGGTTGGTAGCTTGTGCTAGCACCGCAAGCACTACTCATCTCAAGCTGGAGTCGAACAACTTCATGTAGTACCAGGGAGACTCGTAGCGTGCGCCACATCTTAATAGGTTTAGACTCAGCGGTGACGGGTCCTACCTTGCCCTTCGGGGCATGTACTTCCGTACGACAGGCCTTGTCGACTAGTCTCAGGTTCATGGACGTTGCCGGTGTGGATCTCTACGGACGCACCAAGGTATCGTCGATGGCAAATAATTGAGGGGTTTCGGGTATGGGTTCGCTTCCTTGATAAGTATGGCCAAGATGAGCTTCACCGGGAAGGCGAGTAAGTACCGTCTAACACACAGAATACCAGTAGATTATTCAAGGTATATGGAGGTCAAGAGGAAGCTTTTAACATGGACGCAAGTTGACGTGTGTGGTAGAAATCTGACCGATGCAAGAACAGCTGGGAGGCTGAAACGCACAGGTCTCTGTTAGTATATCGGTTAGTACACGCGCCTGTCATTAGATGGATCGCGCGAAAGCGGGGTTCGACTCCCCGACAGAGAGTCGAATGCCAGGCACTCATGATTTTTTGACCTTCGAAGAGATGCTTCTCAATCTGAACGTTGCAAAAGTACTTCAAGTTAGATGTGGCGCACAATACCTTTGTTTGTTGCAGCAACATGTACAATATATATCATGACCCCTGGGTGGTACACCAAATAAGCGCGTGAAGCCAGCGCTGCTTCCAGTGATCATACAAGTCTTCACGGTCATTGCTAAGCTTGCGTATATTGCACTGTCAAAACATCATAATACTGTGTGGATAGAAATGTGAGATACGGATACATAGGGCAGCCAGAGCGGCGTTCTACATCGGCAATAACTGCATACGCTCCTAACAAGAACTCAACTCCGCGCGCCCTTCCTCCCCCTTCCCCGTCTCCCCTTCCCAGCGCCCTTCCGCCCGGAGCCCCCGGCCGCGGCCGCCCCCTGCACAATGTCCGGGAGCTGCGGCAGCGTCATCTCCTCCACGTCCATGCTCATGCCCGCCCCGCCCGCAGCCACGTCCGCGTCCCACGACTCACGCGCGGGCCCCCCAGACACTTCAAACAGGTGCATGAGGCGCTCGCGCACCCCATGCTGCTTCGGGTCCGCGTACAGGACGTGCGTGCCCTCCGGGACCTCCGCCTCGATGAAGCTGTTGTCGGCCTCGTCGCCCGACGCGGTCGGGCGCGGGTTCCCGCCCGGCACTTCGAGCTGCGGGACCAGCGCGGGCTCGGGAGCTGGGGCGGGCTGTGGGGCGGGCGTGGTGGTGCCTCTTGAATGCGCGCCGGGCCCTGGGCTGAACCCGGGTGTTGACCGGCCGGGGGTCAGCGAGTCCGTGAACGACATGTTGGACTGGCGCACGAGCATCAGTTTGGGCATTGAACATTGGTGGGATAAACACGCACCCTTGAGCGGTTTAACGGTCGCGCCCGCTTTCCGAGCGGTGGATTCGGGCCCTTCGCCTTCTTCGCCTCGACCTCGCGCTCTGGCTCGACAATCGCTTCGGCGGGGCGCTTGCCTAGGAGCGTAGAGATGCTGTCCTGGAGCACCTTCGTTGCCTGCTTGGTCACGCGTTTGGGCGTCGAGGGCGTGTGCGCGCCGGGAATGCGCATCGGTGACGGCGACTCGGATGACGGTACGCGATCGTCGAACACCCGTGAGGGGATCGAAGGCCCTGGAGTCGCGTCCCGGTCTGCAGAAGGCTGTGTTCGTGGAGGTGCGGCGGCTTCTTCGGGTTTGGGAGGTGGTGTGGGGGTCTTGGATGGGCGTCGTGGTGTACCTGGAGGCTCGCTGGTGGCTACTTCGCCCAGGAGCATGGCGGGCACCCCGAACGACTCGACCTCCTCTGCGAGAGGTGGGCGGGACCCTGGTGGGGGAGGGTCGTAGTACGATAGCGACTGAGACCTTGGTGCACGATCTTCTGGACCAATGATGAGCGCGAATACTAGAGCGAAGCGGAGAGCGCGTACCGTTCGTGATGTCGACCATACTAGCCTCCTTGCTCGCCTTCTCCTTACCCTTGCCCTTCTTGTCACTCCCGCTCCGTGGTGCTGTCCGTGGCTGCTGCGTCGCCATCATAACCTCGGGCGCGCCCGTATAATCCACAACCTGCAGGTCCACGTCCTCGCCTCGCTGAACGAACGCTTCACCAGCGACCGATGCCGGCCTGGGAACGGCAGTGAGCGGAACCTGGCCCATACGCGCCATCTCGGCGAGCCACGCCATGTCAACGACCGGGGTCCCCCACTCGCGCGCCTTCTCTGCTTTCGCGCCCTCCCCGGACGGACAGAGCAGATGCGTTGTCCGTCTCGAGAAATTCGGTGCATGGTGGATGCCTACAGCCGTGTACGATTAGCTAACGATCCCGCACTATTAGAGCCTGGGGAAACGTACCGAGCGCACGCAGCAAGCGTCGTATCCAGCACGCCTCGCTCTGATCGAGGCCTGAGTAGCTTACGACCATGTCTTCTGTGCCGGATATGGGTGCTTCGACCGCGAGCGGCGCAAACGCAACGTGCTCTTCGGGCGCGCAGATGCGCTCCTCGAAGATGCACCGCTCGAGCCAGCACTCAGTCCGGTACTTGGCGCGTGTGTCATCGTCTCCTTCTCTCCGGAAAAGCGCACTCCCACTGCACCAACGACATGTAAGTGACATCCAAATACTGGCCAGTTAAGACGCACCTAACGAGCCGCACGACGATAAAGTCGACCGTGTCATCATCGTCGTCATGCGCGCTGACCCACGTCCCGCCGCATTCCTCAACTGCCCGACGAACATTCCCACTCCGCGCCTCTCCCAAGGCGCGTATCCGCATGCCCTTAAACAGTTCGCGTGCGCCCTCCGACACGTCCCCATCCACATCGACGCCATCTGCGTTCTCCGGCATGACGCTGCCTGCCCTGCTCGGCCCCGCGACGGCCGACGCAGAGGCGATAGGCACATCCGCCGAAATGCCACCCGCAGCCAGAATGCTCCCCACGGGCCGCCCAAGGAAGGAGAGCGAAGACGTCCGCCCACTGCCCGCCATCCCCTCGCCTCCTACGGTCGGCGCGCGCCGGAACGGTTGCCTCGACAGCGGTGTCGACGCATCTTTCGCCACGGGGGCGAAGGAGCGTGCGCGCCGGAACGACTGGATCGCGCTGGCTGGGGTGAGTGGGTCGCCATCGCCCTCCTTCAGCGAGCCGCGCCGCAATGCACGCGCGGACGGCGAAGGCTCGCGGCGATATGATATGTCGGGGCGGGATTGCGACTTGGACGGGCTGCGGATGAGGCGGCCTTGTTGTAGTTCGAACCCGCGCGGTTTGAGGATGCTCTCCCAGAGGTGGAGGGTTACTGCTGGGACGCGCTTCACGGAGGCGATCTCTTCGTCGTCGTCGTTATGACGGGTGTGGGAGGGGCCTGCAGCGGAGGCTTCTGCGTTCTGGATTTCGGAGGATACACCTGGCTCGTCTGTGGTCGTGGTCGTACCCGGTGGAGGGCCTGGCGTAAAAACGCTCAATGGCTAAAGATGCACAAGGATTGAGACGGACATACCTTCCGGTAATGCTCGGGGTGGGGGACGCGGATTTGAAACTTTGTACGCTTCCTCCTCGAAACGACCTTCGCAGAGCTTCAGCAATATAGCCCTGGCAGCGGATACAGACATTTGCTTACCTCCGAATCGCAGCGAATCCCAGAACCAGTCTTCCCATACAATGTGTATCCTCGCTTCGCCCAAGCGGTTGAACTTGTCCGCATACCGGACCTTCTCAGAGTCGGCTTCACTCGTGTTCGCACAGAGCAGATGTGTAACTCGCACGGGCCGCTCGATCTGCTTCACGTATACCCCGCCACCCTTGGACACTTTGCGGTTGATCTCCATGCGGAGATTTACGTCCTCGATGCCCGAGACGCACAACACAACCCCTGTGAAGGGCGGAAGGCGATGTTCTTCGATGCTCTAGGAGGAATGGAGGTTTGATGTAAGACGGATGGCATAGATTCACGAGGGTGTATTTGACTAACCTCTACGAGATCGACGTCGTCTCCTTTGAGCCAGATTTTATGGCTCTCAGTGATCCAAGACGCGCGCATGATCGGTATTCCGGTCTCCACGGCGCACTGGCGAGCACATGAGCTTTAATACGTGCTGACAGGGATTAATATGCACGTACTCTGTATTTCGCGCTGCCAGGCTCCTCGGCGATGAGGTGTGTGACCCGGTCTGTGAGGTCGCTCACAGACTGAGCGCCGAGTTCCAGAGCGAGCTTGAATAGTGAGGTCTGCAGGGTTGGTCAGGACCGGCATTTCGGGGCTGTTATGTGGACATTGAAACGTTGCAGGGCGGCCAGTTACAGACAGAATACTATCCTCTAAGCTTTTCGAAAGCCGCGCTGGATCTCCAACCCTCGTAGCCATAAATGCTACTTGTCGAGTTCATGACGTCGCGAGACATAGCCAAGCACGGTCAATAGCCACAACACCGCGAGTTTACAGTCGAGCAGGCTGGTAGTGACAAGACGAAGTAGGTACCGAATTTCATGGGTGATCATGCATGAGGGACATGTGTGCGGACAAGGGGCTTCGTGGTTCTGACCTTTTCTGTACGCAGTAGGCAGGACGTGGAGGAGCTGCTTACCTTGTCACTGATTCCGGTCGCACAGAGCACGACGCCTTTAAATGGACGCGGACATAGATCCGCATGCGTAGCTTCTTCGTCCGAGTCGAGTCCTGAGCTGTGGGTCCATGTGGAATCTGGTGTCCTGAGGTCCTTGCGCGCAGCAGGGTCCGCTGGTCGTAGTTTGACTCCAGGAACCTATGCGACGAGTTAAGAGCAGCCGGGAGGACGTTCGCTATCGTACACACCTTCTTGGACCTATTTACTCTCCGGAAGTTCATCTCAGCACCGGCGTAGAGTAGGCGATATCAAATGAATAGGGTCGTCAGATTCGTTAAGTGCAGGTCGACCGTCCTGAGTGAGTGGGACCGTGCGGCTAGTTGCGATAAGTGATGGAGGGTCCCCAGAATAAGATGTGTGGTACAAGCACAGTACAAGAGTCGGGAAACGCGATAAGACGCGGGGTAAGGGACAGGAGAGTGGCTAGTCTTCGTCGCGAGACGCGGTCAACACACGCGCCGCCAGATATTTAGGGCCGGTTCGCTCGTGACAGTCACGTGCACGCGCAAACTTGGCTGCTGCTCGCTGTCCGCGACAGCGACGAGCACTCTCTCACCGTCCTCCACTGTCCCCCACAATGCTGCCCCTCGCCCCTCTGCGCTCTTGCGCACGGACACAAGTCCGCTCTCTGGTCACCGCGGCTTCCTCATCATCATCCCCCGCCGCTGCCACCGAGTCCGAGCCTCTCACCCACTTCCGCATCACCCTCCGCCGTTCCGCAATCTCTCTCTCCAAGAACGTCAAGGGCACGCTCGAGGCGCTCGGTATTCACCGGCGACTACAGACGGTCTACCACAGACATACACCAGACATCGCCGGAAAGATCCTTAGGGTCAAGGAGCTCGTGTCCGTGCAGAACGTCCCCGCCTCGGCAGTGCGAAACAAGCTGGAGCAGAGGTCGGACAGGAAGGCATCCCGGGGATATGTCGTGACGGGGTCGAAGCTTCATGCGGAACCCTAGGTTGCAGGCTACTTGGTAAGTGTTGAAGAAATGCAGTGACATGAGATGCTAATCACCCCACAGACGCTTTATTTCGCTCTGTATCGTCTCCATACATATAATACTCTCAAACATGTTTGCAACGGTGGGAGTAGGCGATACTCCGTGAAGCTTGCACACTTCAAGCGCAAGTTTCACGTTGTCGCAGGGCGGTGCAATCACCCTCAGCTGAGCACACAAGGCAAATCATACAACGTCCCATGGCACGGAGACATTCATGAGCGCCATTGCTTGCGCTATTGGTGCCGGGCCGGTACAGTCAATTCTAGGTATACCACGCGCCATGTTGGGCGGTATTGCTACCGCCACCTCGTAAGTTTATCCGCTCAAGAGCCTTCAACACCGTAATATCCGTATGGCTCTCGGTACGTCGGTCAGCTTATATTCGACCAGCATCGTCGCTTGTGGAGCCTTTCCTGCAGGAGGCCGCGTATTTGATGATTTATCTCCTACTAACTGGCCTAGTCCCGCCCAACGTCATACCAGGTCATACCGGGTCATACCTGCAGGACGCATCCCTTGCATACACGGCAACCTCATGCGACCTCCGTCACACAAGGCCTCCGCCCCCGGATAAACCGAGGCCCATCAACGCGACGCATCTGCCAACACAAATATCTCCATCCCCGACGGCGGTTTCTCGATGCTTTGCCCACTTCCGGCGACATTCGCCCAGGCTTCTTAGTGTGGGACACGGCTTCTGCGGTGCAAGGAGCATTTCCATGCGACGGGCGCACCGATCCGACGACCTCCTTCCGCCGTCCTTGTGACTGTCGCATCTTTCCTCCGGTGCCCCCATGCGGGGGTGATCCTCGGGATATCGACGGATGCAGCCCAGTCGCATGCGCTCCGCCAAGCGTCCGCGCACCCTCTCGCCCTCCGTATATAAAGTGCAGTATGTCGGCCCCGGGGTGCGCCTCAAGCCTCGGGTGTAACTGCACTTTGGTCGACATGAAGACGGTTCTCTTCTCTCTCGCTGCCGCGCTCTTCAGCGCCGCGCCCGCGCTCTCCACCGCCGTCTGGGGCCAGTGCGGCGTGAGTACCCGACTGGCGACGCGGTCACGGGGCCATACTGACCATCTGTTCGTGTTATAGGGCACCGGCTTCTCTGGCGACACGACCTGTGCCTCCGGCTCCAGCTGCGTTGTAGTCAACTCGTGTATGCAGTTTACCCCCCACCCGCTGGCATGCTTAACTGACTAATCACCACTGGACAGACTACTCGCAATGCCAGCCCGGCGCGTCCTCCCCCACGTCGACCGCCTCCGCCCCCGGCCCATCGGGATGCTCTGGCACGCGCACCAAGTTCAAGCTCTTCGGTGTGAACGAATCCGGCGCGGAGTTCGGGAACACCGTCATCCCGGGTGCGCTCGGCACGGACTACACCTGGCCGTCGCCCACTTCCATCGACGTATGTGTCGCTGCTGGGCATGTCTGACGTAGAGGATGCTGACGGGTGTACGTTTTGGTGGTGCAGTTCTTCATGGGCCACGGCTTTAACACCTTCCGTATTCCGTTCTTGATGGAGCGCGTCAGCCCGCCGTCGACTGGGGGCCTTACTGGCCCGTTCAACAGCACGTACCTCGACGGTCTGAAGCAGACTGTTAGTTACATTACGGGCAAGGGCGGCTTCGCCATCATCGACCGTGAGTGTTTACTCCAACGTACGCCGTTTGGAGAGCAGAGTGCCAATTTACTATATAGCGCACAACTTCATGATCTTCAACGGCGCGACCATCACGAGCACCAGCCAGTAGGTCACATTGTCCATAGCGCAAGAACTCTACTGATATACATCGCTTTCAGGTTCCAGGCCTGTACGTATCCGCGTCGCTGTGTGTATAGCAAGAGGCTGCTTACTGATCTTGACGACAGGGTGGCAGAAGCTCGCTGCTGAGTTCGTGAGTGTGCTCCTTGTCTACGGTGTCGTAGCCTCCGTTGCTGACAAGATGCTGCCCACCAGAAAACCAACAACAACGTCATCTTCGACCTGATGAACGAGCCGCACGACATTCCCGCCCAGACCGTCTTCCAGCTCGTACGTGCAACCCCTCCCATGAAGCGACCAACTTCGCTCTAACTGCTTGTCCCGCGCAGATGCAAGCGGCCGTCAACGGCGTGCGCGCGAGCGGCGCGACCAGCCAGCTCATCCTCGCCGAGGGCACGAGCTGGACTGGCGCGTGGACGTGGACGACCTCGGGCAACAGCGACGCGTTCGGCGCGATCAAGGACCCGAACAACAACATTGCTATCCGTGCGTCTCCCTTCCCTCCTCTCCGCCCCCCTCCCTCCAATCTGCCTACTAACGCCCACACCGCAGAGATGCACCAGTACCTAGACTCGGACGGCTCGGGCACGTCCCCGATCTGCGTGTCTGACACGATCGGGGCGGAGCGCCTGCAGGCGGCGACGCAGTGGCTGCAGCAGAAGGGCCTCAAGGGCTTCCTCGGCGAGATCGGCACGGGCAACAACACGCAGTGCGTGACCGCGCTGCAGGGCGCGCTCTGCGAGATGCAGCAGGCGGGCGGGACGTGGCTCGGCGCGCTCTGGTGGGCCGCGGGCCCGTGGTGGGGAGACGTGAGTGTTCTGCTTTTCTTGGGTGGGAGGGGAGGGGCTGGGGCAGAAGCTGACGGGGTTTGCGTTGCAGTACTACCAGAGCATTGAGCCCCCGAACGGGGATGCGATCTCTGCGATCCTTCCGGCGCTCAAGGCCTTCCAGTAAATGTCAGGTTGTGCTGGAATATACGTACTCGTATAGGTTCCCATGTTGAGTCGTCCCAGGGAAAATACAGTTTTTCAGAATCGCAGCTCTTACTGTGATCAGATTATTCTCTAGTATCCAGCGTACGTATATCGACGCGGCTTCCCTACCTTAAGCCAGGTACCGCAGGAGATGCGCGACATCAGCGGCGCTGTGGCACATCTGTATAGATAGAAGCATGCCTTCATGTAAGATGGCTGCGTCGAAACCAGGACCCACCACTGAAACTGGTCGCAGTACTTCCCCAAATGAAACGAATCAAAAGCCCCTGCCCGCCATACATGCGTACGTGTTCACGCCCCCAAGGATGTGATGGTGGGCACAAGCCGCTTAAGTTATCAATATATACTTCGCCACGGATTCTTGCTACACAGAGGTCGACCATAATGAAAGAATACAGCGGGAACGCAGGGGGAACAGTCCAGGTTCGGCGGGCCTGACGCCTCGAACCGCAACAGCCGGAGCCAGGGGGGCACTTTGTACGCGCTCTGAGTCTATGCCAAGATCCTATACCTCGTCGATGTTGTCCATCATCTCCCGCGTCGACTTGAGCTCGATGACGCTGTTCTCGAACTCTGTTGAGCGGATGTGCTGTGCGCGCGGAAGTCGAGCCCCAGGTCAGTTTCCAGGGACATGGGTGAGGGAAGGGGAAAGCGCGGCTCACGTTCGTGGTCGCCCAGTCCATGGATACGTCGCCGCGCGTGCCCGTGCGGACTGACGTGCTGAGGTTGATCGCCTTGCCTTGCCGGAGGCTGGTGGTCGGGTTGCGCACGGTGTCCCGGTAGTTGAGGCTGCGCACATGAGAAGTCAGCGAGTGTCTGGAGATGAGAGACAAAGCTGACGTACGCAGCCAAGACCGAGTTGACGTAGACTTTTGTGCAATTTAAGTACGAGATGGCGCGCTCTGAGACATTAAACGTACGTTTGGACACCACGAGATCGCACCCCGCGTAGATCAGACTGTTCGGGAGCGCAACGGCCTAGGAGAGTAGTGAGATGGGGTCGTCATATGAAGGCTAAATTGCGCGCACCACGATCAGACTGAGGGCACTGAACACGCTGGAAGTGGAGCTGTGATTAGCCTATGCACACGGTGACGAGCATCGCAATATTTACGTCGTGATCAGACCTGCGATGTATGTGTTAGCTGACGAAATTCAACAGAGCAATTGGGCGCAATTACCTGTGCACACGGAGTACATAATCAGGACGTCGATGAGGGAATCGGTACTGTAGGCATATTCTCGTCAGCCGATGCATTCGGTCGTAGGGGCGCCATATCACGTACTGGTCGAAACCCGTCCGGCTCTTCCGCAGAACCATGATCAGGACAACAGTGAGGATCAGATCCGCAGCGATGGCAAGCGAGAACGACGCGGAGTTCAGCCACTGTGATGCCAATATGAATAAACAATTGTGGGACTATCGTGGCTTAGGACGTACTGCAACTTTGTGGAACTCGGCGAAGTTCGGCAGGACAGAACTAGTTCAGGAGGTCAGCATTTGCGTCGGCCGGGACACATCAAGGACAACTGACGCGTAGTATGTTCCAGCTGTGGAACGACGTTCAGATGGAGAAAATGTGCGCAGGTGACCAGTACTCACCAGTCGCGAAACCTGGCGCACGGATCACCGAGAACTTCAATATCAAGTGTCATCTGCCGAGATGCTATGTGCTTACCCAGCTCAGCGATGAACATAATACCCTGGAAAGGTTTGTCTTGAGAACATCATCCGGATAATTCGTAGTGGTAAGACTTACCGTGATCATCACCAGGATCCTGTACTTCAGAGAACCGACTTGTTATGAAAAATGAGTACTCTTCGCCGTCCTGTGCCCGACGCAGGACTTACTGATGTACACCCGACGAGCGAAGAAGCTATATTGGTGCATCAGCTATGTCCACGCAAGCGTTATGGGATGCGCGAAGTCCTCACCTTTGGCAAGCCACTAGTGTCATGCCCTGCAATACAGATTAGCACCAGCTCGGACGAGAGACAATGATTCTATACTCACGACAGAGACACCCAGCAACTAACACACGAGACCCCTTCAGTAAGACGCACTTCGTATTGTCCGTAGATCACTCACGTTGATGGACCTATAGTCGTACCGTGTCAGAACCTCACTCTGGGCTATAGCAATACTTGTACTCACCAGATCCCCGAGAACAGGCGCGTCGGGTCGAAGTAGTTTGTGACGAGGTACCAATAACTGTGAATTCCAATGAGCCACCACTCTCACCTCCGGCACGGCGAGAGTCTCGCCTACCATATGTGCATGGAAAGAATGGTCTGGAAGGTGTCCATAACCCTGATAAAGATGAGTCGGTCTGTGTCCGTACAGAGACCCGTTGAGATTGTTCGGACATACATGATGACTGCTACCTGCATCACGACATGTAAGCCGCAGCGTTGAAGCGAGGCATGACCAAGGTGAACTCACGTAGACTTTAACGAGTGTAGGGTCTTTGAAACGGAGTCGCGTGTAGTTGTATGCCTGAAGCAACGCGAAACCGTATAATCTGCGAGCCGACGCGTCACTTCACAGTGGCCTACCCGAAGTCGGTATCGTACTCACATAAGACTAAGGAACGTGCCGATCATCATGGCCCCGTATGTGTTGTCGATGGCGGGGAGCTTGGGCAGGGCAGCCAGAGGGTTTGCTGGCGCCGCCGCCGCAGCGGGATCGGTGGTGTCCAGGCGGCCGATGAGCGACATTGTCCAGGTGCAATGGGCGGCGGCTGGCACGGTGAAGGCACGCAAGAAGGGCGGGCACGACGGGCGTTCCCCCCATCAGGCGCTCCTTATAGTCGCGATGTGTCTGTCCCGGCATGATGGGTCATCTGGTGATCAACAGGCTGGGTACGCATCGCTCCCGATAGCGCCGTCCCCGCACCAGAAGAGTGCAGTGGCGCACCGATACCGTTACTCATTGCACGCCGAAGTCTTCTCGGGCCTGATATCACGCGCGAAGCCTGCCAGGCCGTTACCGGGGACCTGCATAGCCCAGATGGAAGGGAGGAGTTCTTACTGACAAGCCAGGCGTAGCCCGCATTCGGGCCCATACATCGCTGCATCCGGGGCATCAGCGTCATGCCGTCCGATGCGAATTACCGGGTACCCACCTGCGTGCACATGGACTTGGGCTGGGGCAATCAGCAGGGTCTACCTGTTTCGGAGACATGATGCAGACTTGCGATCTAGCCGGAGAAACACATCGCTAAGTACCTGACGTACATACCTAAACCGGAGCATCGACAACGTTCTGTTGGGTGGGCATCGAGAGCCAGGCACGTAATACGAGGGAGCGCCTCGCTCTGCACGATGGAACCCTTCTGTGCCCTGGTGATAGGTCCTCCGAAGTTGTTCATTGAGCGTAAATCCTCATCAAGGCACTCCTCCGCAAGGATGCCATCTCGCATTGTCGAAAAGGTGCAGCGCCCCGGACTGCCCCGTCATGTCGGCGTGCTCGGTGAACCCAGACCGTCGGAGTACCGGATGGATCAACGATGTCGAGTTCAGTCTTGATGTATACGGATGCCCCGCGTTTCCTAGTGACTCAAAGTAGGCATGGCGAGGGAAATCGCCGTGCCTGCACTTCTGATACCTCCGTGGGAACGGCGTGCGTTCACAGCCCGACGGTCGTGCGTGATCCTCCCGCCGGCATCGCCATCCAGCGCCCAGCGGTTCTGGCGAGAGCACTGCAAGTTACAACATCTGAGAATGTATCAAATTCTGCGGAAGACAGGGGCGAGAAGACATACATGGTCAGCCCCCGTGCGTATGGCGCTAGACGCAAAGTTCTGCTGATGAGGCGGGAGCTCCCGATACCTCATGTTCGGCCATGTCAGGAACAACGGAGCGACCGAGGCCACGGAGCATGGCAGAGAGCGCTGTTGGCTTTCAACAGCGTTCACGATGACCTGGGAAGTACGCTTGACAGCTCCGCATGTACGCAGGTCGGCGTACGCATAGAGTTCGGGATCCCGCAATCAGGATTCCGCCAGTGTTGACGGAGACGTAGTAGTCAGAAATAGCAAGCGACGCACTCCGAATCACTCGTCCGTCGCCTAGCCAAATATGTCCAAATCGAGCGTCCACCTGGCGGCGGTCGGAGTCCGGACGAATGATGCACAATCTATCCCCCACGACATAGAAAACATTCGTTCGCCTGCGACCATATGTTCTCACTGGCGCATCATTGTCAGTGATGCATCAAGGGAGAAGGGTTTATGAGTTAAAGGGCTGGGCCTCGGCATTCTCAATACCAGTCGGCGCTAAGTTGAAAAGATGGAATATAATCCGGGAGCAATGACGCTGAGTACCGGGAGGCTGACTCTGCACACGAGAAGCGTACAGATCGTGCAGAAACAGTCCTGACTGCTTGAGGCGCGCGAGCGAACATGTACGCTGGCGTGGGTCTTAAAGCCGCAGTTCCCTCGCAAATACTGGCAGTGGCAATAGAACGGCTGCGATCTGTATGTTAATATCGCCCGCGAAGAGCCCAGTTACAAAACAACGGCACTAATATACGTAAGGGAACAGCCGATACCGCGTCCGCGCCGAGTAGTCCTTCCACACCGCGCCGAAGTGCTCAACCAGCTGCTTGTCCTCGACCGCGCACCGTCGGAAAAGCGAGAATCCGCCGAAGAGGGCTATAAACGGCCAGCTGTACACGACCGGCCAGAAGGGCGTGTGCTTGATGCCGCAGTAGGGTACGTAGCCGGCGTCGCCGAACTGCATCAGGTGCTCGCCGATGAGCATGAGGATGACTCCTGTGTACGACGGGTGGCGGACGTAGGCGTACGGCCCGGAGGTGACGAGGGAGTGGCTTTTCTTGATGGAGACTTCGTACGTGAAGAGCTCGCCCATGGCCTGGTACGACCAGAGGCGTATCGAGCCGCCGCTGATGGTGAGGAAGGTGCCGATGAGGAACCTCGGCGATAGTTTCAGAAGGGGTTCGAGCTGGTCGGGGCTGCTCGGACACAGCAGCGGCGCGACGGCGGGGATATGGTCATACAGGGCCAGTAGGAGTGTTGACGCTATGGTAGGCAGCACAGCGAGCTGACCTCGCCCGCGTCAGAAGGGTGCGCATGACCAAACTATCTGCAGTGCTTACCCATACGAGATAGGCCAGAAAGCGCACAAGGTATTCAAACGCCTGGCCTCTGTATACGCCATCGCCTTTCGACCCGCCCGGTGCGCGTCGACTTGGAGGGCTGATTGCCCGAGTGAAGATGACCCCAGAGACAGCGAGGAGGATGACTTTGAAGGTAAGCATGAGGGCTGCCGGCTTCAGGAGAAGCAGTGGGTCTCTAGGAGGTCGATAAGGGAGGGGGGAAGTGCAATCAAAGCTGACAATATTTGAGACGGGCGAGTGATATACGCTGACGCAGATCCAGGTGCCCGTTCTGAATCACAAGGCGCTGAGACTGCATGGTCAATAATGATGCATATCGTGGACTTTTCAAGAAACGTGTACAACAACGCGCGGAAATTACGCACATCACCTCTACCCAGGGTAAGAAGCGGACAGGCCCTGATATGAGGCGATGTGTGATGCTTGAGTGCTCTCGCCAGCCGAGACGCATGGTGGTCGTGATTGGTGAATGGATGCACCGCTGGCGGGCTCCGTTTACATGATCGGGTTAGCATCGTTTGATACTTCCATGCACGATCTGCATAGCTACAGAAGGAACGATCTGCCGTGCTTGGTGGCGTAAGGGGTGATGCAGCAGGCATTGAGGGGCTCAGAGAGAGGCTGAGAGAGGATGGAGGTCGAGAGACGAGAGAGCGGGTCGGGCACAAACCGGAGCGCTCGCAGCGGCATTCGCCGCATGGCACCGCACCCTCAGGCTCCTCCGTCAGAAAAATGCGGCTTGAACACAAGCCACCACATCCCATCACCCTCTTGCTGTTCGGGGACCTTGCACCTCACAGCATAGAACCTATTCATTCACGAGGAAAGCTAGGCGACTCGAGTGACATGCGCACGACTTTTCAAGCCCATATACTAATAGCGAGGTGGATAGCAAACGCTGAGCGCGCTGATGGACCAGCTCCTCGGTGCATATCACGTTCAAAGCCTCTCTAGACCCCTATCGGAAGGTCCAGTCCAGGATCTATCTGCTGATGGTTGATCAACCCAGGGCGATCCCCGTCCAGCAATGAAAGATGGTGGTAAGGCGTCCGGTCCAGCCTTCGGCGTGCTCGTGCTCGTTCAATACCTACGGCTGGCCGTCGCTGCCAAAGCTGTAGCATATCGAGTATTTACAACTCTGCCAGAAACCATCGACGCCCCCATACTTTGCTACGGGGCATTTCGTTCCGCAACCGGCGCTAATTCTATCTAGGCGTACCAGAAGCTGCGGCCTCCTACTGCCCAATGGCAAGCGTCAACTCTGATCTCTTCGCGGCAGGCTGTGTAGGAGTTGTAAGTCTTTACCCTGCAGCCTCCTGCCCAAATGTGAAGAAAAAGCTCACTCGCTGTTACCAGGCTTCCTGGACCGTGTTTCGTAGCTCTAAGATCCGGGGAGACTATGCCCTGTTGTTTTACACGGCGGCTGGCGCGCTCCTGTATACCCTAATACGCCTGACAAGCGAGTCTCCTGAGCCACCCTTCACCACTACTGTCAAACTGGGATCTGCTTATGCTCTCTCGCTGCTTCTGACGACTGTCGCGTACCGAGTATCGCCATTCCACCCTCTCGCGAAGTTTCCTGGGCCTGTCTTGTGCAAAGTCACCGGCCTCTATCTAGCTTACATCTCGTTTACTGGGAAACGACACTCGTTCCTCGATCGTCAGCACGCTCGATACGGGCGCTTTGTCAGAGCTGGTGAGCTTCACAGTGCATTCTTGCTCGTCATATCTCATGAGAGTCGTAATGCAGGGCCTAATATCATCACCGTCAACTCCCCTTCGGCGCTGACCATCTACGACAACCCCAACACTACCAAGAGCGAGCTGTACCGCATAGCGGATCGCGATCTCGTACATAGCGCCCTCTTCTTCAAGCCAGACACTAAACGGAACCATCGAGACCGAAGGCGGATTTGGCATGGACTGTTCACGACTGCAGGGTAGGCCAACGCGTTGTATCTACTGCGATACACGAAACTGAGATGTCTCTTGGTCAGCCTCAAAGAAGTGTTGCCTAGTATTGAGCGCAGAACGTGGCAACTTCTATACGCCTTGGAACAGCGACAGCAGAATGGCGTCGTAGATGTGGGAGCGACGTTGGGACATTGGGCGTTTGATGTCATGGTACGTCTATGTCACTTTCTCCTTCTTAAGGGACGCTCACCGGGATATACAGGGAGACGTCGTCTTTGGCGGCATGACTGACTTCGTGAGTGCTAACTGGGCTAGCCGTACGGCATAGCAAGCTGAAACGGGGGTGTCGCCCAGGAATTCTTGAAGAAGGGTGACTCGAATGGTATCATGCGCTCCAATAAGCTCGCAACTACTATCATGGATAGGTATGACGTTGTATTACCACCTTGTGTGCGTCCAACCTGCTTACATTTTACCGATGCAGTGTGGGTCTATCGCCTTGGCTGCTGGATATCTTGTGGCATCTACCCGCCACCAAGACTATGCACGCGTCGCGCGACCTAGCTACGAGCATGATGCGCACGAGAATGAAAGCAGAACGTGCGTTGGACTACCGGGACCTGTCCTCGTACTGGGTGCGTCGCGAAACGAAAGGGAAGCATATCGTAGCGAAGGTGACTGACGTGGCGATGGGCGTAGATGGAAGGTGGCATACCCGAAAATCAGCTCGAACTGGACGCGGTAGTGGCAATGACTGCTGGTGAAGTCCTTCCTCATCGTTGTACGATGTTCTCTCTTAACGTCGACCGGCGCAGGATCCGATACCACCGCGTCGAATCTCACCTTCTGCGTCTACTTCCTCACAGCGCACCCCGAGTGCGCCCGCCAACTGCGGCAGGAGCTAGACAAGGAGTTCCCCAATCCCGCCGGCATGCTCGACATGGACATCCTCCAGACGCTCCCCTATCTCAACGGCGTGATCCACGAGTCGCTTCGCCTAACGACGCCGTACTTCATGCCCCGGGAAGTCCCCATTGGGGGCATGGTCGTCGATGGACATTTCATTCCCCATGGCACCGATATAACCATCGCAACGAACTCGCAGCATATGAGCGAAGAGAACTTTTATCCAGATCCACTGGTAAGGCCCGATCCTGCTCCGAACGAGAGCAACCCTGTTCACGTTATGCACAACCAGGCATTCCGTCCCGCTCGCTGGATACCTGGTGGTCTGGGACCCGAGACGAAGACCAACAAGAACGTTTTGTGCTCGTTTGGTCTCGGTGCGTTTCTACATCATCATGAGCGTCAGCGTTTGCAGCTTTCCTAACCATCCAACATACAGGCGAGTATGCGTGCATTGGCAAGATGCTGGCCTACCAGGAGATGCGCCATACCCTCTCCCGCCTCGTGCTCATGTACGACTTCGCTTTCCCGGAGGGATTCGACGTCGCAGGCTTCCCGCGAGGCATGCAGTACACGCGCTCGACCTATTTCGAGATTCCCTTGCTCTTGAAGGTCACTCGGCGACCGGGGATCACAGGATTCAAGACTGCCTTTGAGTAGCTTCGAATATACTCAACCTCTGCGCCAGCTGCCAGTCATGTCTCCACATTCGTGGTGTCCCGCATCGTACGGATAACATGGTCATCGACATGATCCATCCCGGCAAGTGCGTTCCGTGGGCGAATTGGAGTGGCTTGATAACGCTATGATATTCTGCAAATAGGATGCGGATCATGTCCAGGTAGGATACGTTCTTAACATGCGCGCCGGGCGTCCTTGAGACCCGACAGAGCAGCTCAGGCTTGCACCTGCCTCGAAAACGACCTCACTGCGATACTGGCATGTCCCATGTGCCAGGGGCCGGGCCGACCTCGGAAGCACAGACATATCCGCGACATGTTCCTGCGTATCGAGCTCAGTTGAAAGCTTCTGCCTTCAATATGATATCGGCACCGATGTTGATAGACAACTAGCCTTGACAGAGAACCCCGAAGTGCCCAAGCCGAATGGTGCACCCGCTATCGCCCCTTCGTGCCGATCAGCTTCAAGCGCCGCTCAGGACACGGCACGCATGCGGAGGGGTGCGGACAATCAGCCATCACGCGCTCAGCAGGATGGCGTCTTTGATGCCCGCGACAGGGGGCCCACCTCATCGCCGCCGCTGAGCGCGTTCCAGTTTGATTCTGAGAATTTCAGAACCCCCCGCCGGCCTGGACATTCCGTCATCCCGTGAGTGGCAGTGGCTCAAGACGCCCTTGCAGTTCATTCTGAGCGCACGATGGATCTTCTGTGCAGAGGAAGCGGCATCGCCCTCGCGCGGCGTGCCCCCGTCAGGACACCTTCCCACACCCGCCGGGGGTGGTTTGGGGTGCATCCGACAGCACATTGACTTGCCCCCGTTCTCAGCCCCGTCTGCTGTAGGCCACGCGCGCGCCCAACCCCGCTCATAGTCCAGTCGTTTCATGATTTCTGCTAACTTGTAGACGTCGCTCAACTCGTTTTGAGTGCAGATTGCTTCTTGCTTCTGTAACGATTCCCCTGGTTTCACCATGGACACCCCGAAGGAGGCAAATGTCTTGGAAGTGGAGGCTCAGCCGAATGACGACGCGCCACAAAGCCCGGGCTCATCCAAGAAAGGACTCAAATTCTGGCTGATCATCCTCTCGCTATGTCTCTCGATCTTCCTTTCCGCTCTTGAACTCACTGCCGTATCGACCGCGCTACCGGTGATCATCCATGACCTCCAAGGCGGCGATTTCGTCTGGGTCGGGACTGCGTATTCGCTGGCGTCCACAGCGTTTCTGCCCCTGAGCGGTGGCGTAGCTGAGGTCCGTATACGCCTCTCACTTTACAATGTCTCCTAGCTTATTGTGTACAGATATTCGGACGTCGCATCGCGATGTTCTTCTCCTTGTCAACGTTCATCCTGGGCAGTGCGTTGTGTGGCGCAGCGCAGAACATGAACTGGCTCATAGCCGCACGTGGTATGTGTGCCAGCTTCCGCTTCCTATCTCACGAACCTCGTTCTTACCTTCCAAAGCTGTGCAGGGGTTGGGCGGCGGGGGAATTCTGTCTGTTGTTTCGATCATCATGGCTGATCTCGTTCCACTCAAGGAACGTGGATTGTACAACGGCCTTACCGGAATGTCAGCGCTTTGAGTTCTTCGCAAACATTTCGGGCGCTGACACTACCTCAGGACTTGGGCTGTCTCCTCGGCTATTGGTCCGCTTGTCGGAGGAGCTTTGGCGACCCGGGGACAGTGGAGATGGCTCTTCTGTAAGTTTGCGTCACTATTCGGACCCGACTTGAACTCACCTAAATCTGTACTTACCCGCAGACCTCAATCTTCCCATCTGCGGTGCTGCACTTGTTATGGTGACCGCATTCTTGAAGCTCCCTACTCCCCCAGGAAATCTTGCAAGCAAGCTCGGGCGCATGGACTGGTTGTGAGTGATGTCAGTGAATTTCATACGAAGTGTCCCTACTCACCTGGGCCATCCAACAGTGGGAACCTCCTGATCATTGCTTCGACGACTTCCATCGTGGTCGGACTCACCTGGGGAGGAGTCCAGTTTGCGTGGAGCTCTGCGCATGTTTTGGCACCGCTGATAGTGGGACTGTGCGGTATAGTATTCTTCTTCATATATGAGGCGTACTGGGCACGCAATCCAATCGTGAGTCGTGCCATAACGCTGGACATCAGGAGACCATTCTTACGCCTTGGCATAGGTCCCTATGTCCCTACTCCAGAACCGGACAAGCGTCAGCGGGTATGGTCGAGTCTCTAAGCGGCATCACGATACAGCAGACATTGATACGACGATCTTCACAGGTACATTCAAACCTTCATCAACCCTATCGTCGTGCTCGCGGTTGCCTGTAAGTGCCACAAGATCCCTGTAGAGCCGAATAGATCTTAACGCGACCCCATCATGCCCAGACTATCTTCCGGTGTACTACCAGGCGTGCAAGGATGCTACGCCTCTTAGGTCGGCTGTCGACATGCTCGGGCTCTCGCTCTCTATGGGCCCGATCATCATTATCTCAAGTATATCTGTGACGGTCCTTCGGGTGTATCGTACCCAGCATTGGATTGGATGGGCGATCTTCATGGTAGGGATGGGCATATTCACGACGCTTGACGCCGATGCGCCTCTCGCGCACGCGATTGGCCTGCCACTCCTCCTCGGTGCTGGCGCCGGCATCATCTACGGTGAGAAAACACCACACGTCGCTTGCCACCAGGGGCCTAATCTGCTGGTCAATTAAGCCGTTACCTACTTCCCGGTGCTCTCGCCCCTGCCCGTGTCCGAGAACGCGCACGCGCTCGCCTTCTTCGCCTTCTGTCGCTCTTTTGCCGGGGTATGTCCGCTCTTCATAACGATCACCGGTCACTTCTAAGCTGACTTGGCCTCGCTCAACTCAATTAGATCTGGGGAATCGCAATTGGCGCCTCCGTCTTGCAGAACGAGCTCTCCCGGCGGCTTCCCCCCGCCCTTCTCGCAGAGCTCGGAACAGGCGTCGACCTCTCCTACGCCTCCATCCCACAGATACCGACGCTAGCACAGCCGCTGAAGGACGAGGTGCGCCACGCGTTCGGGGACAGCCTCGTCGTGGTGTGGCAAGTCATGCTTGGCATCCTTGGGATAGGATTCGTGGCGTCGCTGCTGATGCGCGACGTGCCTATGCACGGGGCACTGGATGACAAGTGGGCTCTGGAGCTCGAAGCGGATCGACAGAGCGGTGCAGGTGAAATTCAAGACGAGTTGAAATAAAGCTTTGTACATATGTCTGCAGGTTCGCGGTGTTGGACGGTTGGGACTCCGACGTGGTCGCTTGTATCTATTCGTTGATTGTGCTCGCTGCAGGTAGTTCGTAGCGTACACGGGCTTTTTCTCAAAATATTCCTACCACGGCGGTAAGTTCAAGGGCAACCGACACTGAGCAGCATCCCTCTAGCGCCCACAGGCTCCAGCAGATCCAAGAACCTTATCTAAGCCGCCGTTTGTCTCCTCTTCCCGCCATGATGTTTTGTCTCCCTGCTGTTTCAATTTGGCCGACCATCAAGCAGACCACGAACATCGCACATGTACGTGCTGCGTGATTGTTTTGCGGATGGGTAATTCAACCTCAGCCGCTGTAAATGGCAGAATGACTGTCGGTCCTTGGATTTCGGACGCTGTATCCACTCTGCATCCCCGAAGACAACCAATCATTCGTGATGTTTTCGAACCTCCGGCTCGCCAGTTTTGTCCATCGATGCGACATCAGCGCCCACCACACTACCCGACAGGAACGCCGGTTCGCCGTAGCTAACAGGGTGCGCGCCACGATCAACGTAACATTGTGGCGCATGTTTTCTGACCTACCACCGTCTTCTGTTACCCCGCAGAGAGGCTAGACACATCTCTGCACTGGATGCTCTGATGAACTTGTCGGGATCTCCAAAAAGCCGCGGCCGCTGGAGCGCTACGCACGATCATCCAGGGATTCGCAGCCAGCAATCTGCCGCGCCCTCTGCCAGGCAGAGGGGTATCAGGATCAGCGGAACTGCGCAATCGCAAGCCGACCATGCGGGCGCCGGGGGGTTCAGAAGACATTGCACCCCCATGCGGCGGACGGAAGCTTTGTCCTACCACCGCAGTGCCTGGCGCGGTGATGCATCGTGCATACCATCGTGCGTGTATCGAGCACCGCCGTTGAGTGAGCCCGTGACGAGAGCGTGTATGATGGCATATGAGCTAACGGCGCCGCTGCCCAAGGCTTAGGTATCGAGGGGGCGGTGTCCTCTCGTTGCATCTGACAGAGAAGCATGCTCTGATCAAGGCCGTCCTTGGTCCCTCGCCGACTGCACGAGTTGATTTACCAAATGGCTCAGGAAGAGCCGGGCACCGGGCGGAGACATAAAACGTCTTCGTAAGGATATATGGCAAGCGACGCACCTGCGCCGGTTGCTCGAGGCCCCCCTTTCTGAACGCGCCCTTGACGCTTTCTGTCGCTCTTCTGTTAGTGCTATCCCACTAATCCTTCAATCGCCACCATGTCGGACCTCTCGTACAACGTCATGGCGCCCCCATCTGCCGTCGCGACGGCGAGCGTTGTGCCGCTGCCGTCGTCCATGACCTCGGTCCTTTGGCGGGGCCTTGTCTCACTTGGTAAGTCGTCTTCGTTGCCTGCACAGTTCCTGGGCTGATCACCTGGACCGTCCGCAGCCAGGAGTACTGTGATCACCGCTTTGAAGAGCGGCATTGTGAACGGCCAGATCGACATCGTCGAACAGAACGGCACTACGACTAGCTTCGGCCTCTCGACGACAGAGTCGAAAGGGCAGTCTAGACACGGACAAATTGTCGTCCATGACGACACCTTTTGGGTTCGCGTCTTCACTTGGTATGATATTGGCTGTACGTGTTCCCTTCATTTGAGGTTTTGCACCCCAGTCTGACCAGTTGTCGTTCTTGCTACAGTCGCAGAAGCATATCTTGCCGGCGATTTCTCCTCGCCAAACCTTAAGGAGGTTCTTAACGTGCGTCCACACGGCGCCATATGTAACCAGTAGTGCTTAAGTTACGTGGCGCCCACAGATTTACGTGGACAACTTCCGCCTGGGAAGTTTGGGTGGGCTGTCGACGATCGCATATCGATTCAACAGCGTCATCGAGACCATTACTCTGCGCTTCAGCCACAGTCTTACGAAAGCTGTCGCGAACGTAAGTGCAAGATATCTGTCATAGACTTTCGCGCGAAGCTCATCTCGGTGCATATTCAGGTTGCAGGATATGATGCATCCAACGAACTGTACCAGGTACGCAATGACCTTTCAAACACAGGACGCCAGTTTGCTGACCAGCCCCAGGCGTTCCTGAGCACTGAGATGCAGTACTCTTGCCCCATTTGGGGAGAGGAGGAGGGTGGCGTACGCGGTGACCTCGAAGGCCTGCGCCGTCCAGGAGATCTGGAGAGCGCGCAGCGCCGGAAGATCGAGTACATCCTCCGCAAGGCGCGTCTCCGGCCCGGAGACCGTCTCTTGGAGATCGGCAGCGGCTGGGGCGGCGTAGCCATTGCGGTTCGTGTCAATTTCCGCACAACGCTGTCAATCTTGATCGCTGACGGATGTTGTGGAGTTCAGGCGGGTCGAATGGGCTGCACCGTCGACACCATCACGCTCTCCGTAGAGCAGCGGGCACTCGCGCTAGAGCGCGTGCGCGAGGCTGGGCTCGAGGGTCAAGTCCGGGTTCACCTTATGGATTACCGGAAGATGCCGGCAGAGTTTGAGAAGGCGTTCGATGCATGCATCAGCATAGAGATGCTCGAGGTAGCTATCACTTTCATGCCGTCGCGCATGCAGATCTCACTAAACGCGCGTTCTATTAGGCGGTGGGCGCCGAGTACATGCCCACCTACATCAGGCAGATAGATTGGGCACTCAAGGACGACCGCGCGGCCGTTGTTCTCAGTGCTACGACGTACCCGGAGTGCAGCTACTCTCGTCTGCAGTACGTTCGTCACTCTCTCTCCTTTGCACGGTTTGCTGACGACACGCTTCGCAGGGGCAACGACTTCGTGCGCAAGTATCACTGGCCGAACACCATCATTCCCAGCGCGACCTCCCTCTCCGTGGCGTTCAACGAGACGTTGAAGGGGCGCTTCTCATTGGAGACCATCGAGGACTTCGGGAGTCGTACGTTGTCACATTACTCATCTTCTCTGTGCGCCTTCTGACCTTCCCGGTTTCTCAGACTACCCTCGGTGCTTGCGTGAATGGGGCAGGTACGTGCCAGTCTCAGCTCACGAGAGACCCTCTTCTAACCCTCCATTTCACGCGCAGGCGGCTCGAGGAGAACTGGTCGCCGAAGCTGGTCGCGTCGCTGCAGGAGCGCTACCCCAGCCTCAAGGAGGAGCACAACATGGACATCCTCCGGCGGCGGTGGCGGTACATGTACCTCTACATGGAGGTCGCGTATTCGCGCGCGTGGCTGAGCCTGGGGACGTGGACGTTCGTCCGACCCGTGAGTGTTCTTTTTTTGGGACGCACGCGAATTGGAGCTAACGGCTTCGTAGGGGCATTCGGCGGAGCTGTGCGCATGAGTTTAGAGCATCGTTTCTTTTCGTTCGTTGTTTCATGGACTCACTTTCTTTAATGACTCCCGCTTCCTGTCCTCGAATATCGCATTTGGAACGCTGTAACCACTACCGGGCATGTATCTATTCAGGTATTTATCATATAGACCGTCTCTCCCAGGCGCTTTTGCACATACTCAGTCCGAGCCCCCCGATCTGAGAACATCGAGGAGCATGTCCACGGTCGCGAGCACCCACTCGAGGCCCTCCTCGCTCGCCAGCCAGCAGTCCTCGGTTGGTAGCCCAGGTTCATCTCGGGCTCTGAGCAGCCCGAGGGCATGGCCGTTGAGCAGCTCCCCGACTCCGGATCCCTCGGTGCGGAGGCACGCGATGGCGACTACGGAGTTCAGCGCGCGGCTCAGGTTTCCTTGTACGGCTGCTTCTTCGGGGAACGAGGCGAAGACGGCGGCATAGATCTGTGTTACCGCTTCTGTGTGCGTCATCAGTGATCGTCTGTCTAAGAGTGTACATGTTGTGCAAACACCAGAATGTTTATGGGAAGTGATGGTGTGCTTGCCCTGTAGGCGGCGATATGGGGCCCAATGCACGTACCAGTGAAATCTGGGTGATATGAACGCAGCTTTGCTCGCATGCCATCCGATTGAGGACCATAGATGGAGTCTGCGAGCGCGTTCCCGCGCGCTTTAAACTCGTTGACGTTCTCTGGCGTGAACTTTCTGGGTATATGTTCAACACAGGGTTTTCTATGTTTCTGCGATAGCGACGGGACTACGATGCGCACCTGAGTTCACTTTTGCGAAGATTGTCCTTGACGTCTTCTTCCAGCGCTTCGTGCAGCCTAGCCATCGCCAGGATTGTCTATGATATGCGTGTACTTATCAATTTCGTCGTTGGTATTCAAAGCAGAGAACACAGTGCAGCTTACACGTGGTACGCCAATGATGAGCGTGGCCTTTAATATAGCTTCGCGCATGAGAGCAGCCTTGTGGACGGCATCTGCAAGACTGTGGCGCGTTGCTGCGTCCTCCGGGTCTTGCCGAGTCGCCATACGGTAGAGATGACCTACAGTAATCGTGGTCGAGTTTGCTGTGGCGAGTGCGCAGGTCTATGAGGGCAGACTGAGTTAAGCATTTGGGTGCCAACATAAAACTTGGCTGCAACGCACCATGAGGACCAACCAGCCTCCTTCGACCTTCTTTTCCTTCGCATCCTCGAGGGTATACGAAAGGACATGGCTCGTCTTTTTCAGAGATGAAACATCTTGTGCTGGCCCTGTGTGCGAAGCGAGTATTTCCTTCAGGCGCGGAGACAACTGTGCAGCGGTGCTGGAGTCCTTCTGTGTCATGATGAGGCTCGTCCCTAGTCAACGTCGCTAGGGTGTTTGCAGACGCACCTATATACTTATTCTCGTGCCAATGACAGATGAACGTTATAATTAACGCTCTAACGTAGCAGTTAGCATGGACTGTGCCGCTGTCCGGCGGCGGCATCGGGGTGCCACCAAGCGCCGCTATCCCGATATGGCAGCAGCCCAACTTAAGTCTTGCGGCGTTGAGTAGCCGGCATAATCCTGGCGACCCGATTGGCGGGCCCCACACCGACGGCCTCGAGCGACGTCATTCCCACAGCGCGTTTCGCGATGCTTGAAAGGAGGAGGGCGCGCGGGCTGCGCGCGGCCGGGAACGCACTGGATGTCCGGTCTGTTCTCTCACCCTGCGTGCCGTCTGAGATTGATCAGCGCACAACGTATCTCTCGACCACCACCATCTCTCTCCTCTCTACACCGCTTCACCTTTTGCAGAATGTCCCAGAAGACGATCGCCGTGCTCGACGCGTCCGAGCTGAAGGATGGAGAGATGTGAGTGTGCTCTCCGTGTCGAGACGTATCGCAGCGAACCGCTCGGTCATCGGATTGAGCGTGGAGATGCACACTTGTATCCTGCGGAGACAGCTATCCTTTGTCTGCCCGCCTCAGGCGGCAGCGGCGGTTGCACTTGCAAGACAGTGGCAGCAGATTGCCTCGAGGCCAAGCTGGTGGACAATTTTCACTTGCACCTATCTAGTATATCCTTCTTGAGAGGTTTCCTCGGAGTCGGCAAAGACCCTTTCATGTGCTTTGAGTGGTTTATATACCATAGCGTTCACCGCTGACGAACACCAAACAGGAAGGAAGTGCCGTTCGAGGACGGCAAAGTCCTCCTCTCCCGCCTCGGCGACAAGATCCATGCGACGAGCGCGTTCTGCACGCACTACGGCGCCCCCCTCGTCAAAGGCGTTCTCACTGCGGACGGCCGTGTAGTCTGGTGCGTGTTCCCGTAGCCCGCCTGTGCGCCACCGCTGACGGAGTCAATCAATAAGCCCGTGGCACGGTGGTAAGTCATAACGTACCCAGGCTTACTCCCCTTCGTGCCCGTTCCCACCGGCAACGCTCGGTCAGCGGCTGATTACTATCTTGCCGCACAGCATGCTTCAACGTTTGCACGGGCGACATTGGTACGCCACCCTCCTCGACGTCTGCCAGACGAGTGCTGACGCGCGTGTGGCACAGAGGACGCGCCCGCGCCGACGGCCCTCCATTCGTTCAAGGCGGAGATTGTGGATGGGAAGATCAGCGTGACCGCCGACCCCGCGAGCACCACGAGCGCGAACAAGTCCCGCCAGCCCAAGCTGCTCGCGACCGGCAGCAGCGTCACCGCCGGTCAAGGAAAGGGCGTCGTGATCGTGGGCGGCGGAAGCGGCGGCTTCCACCTCATCGAGAGTCTGCGCGAGGTAAGCACGCCCGCGGATTGCGATACTGGGGGCGGCGACTGACGTGCTGCAGCACGGGTACAATGGCCCGATCACGGTGCTGTCCAAGGAGAGCTACGCCCCCATCGACCGGACGAAGCTGAGCAAGGCGCTCATCACGGACCCGTCAAAACTCGAGTATCGCTCGGCTGCGGACCTGCGCTCCAAGTACGGCGTCGACTTCCGCGCGGGTACGGAGGTCTCTGGGGTCGACTTGGCTGCGAAGGAGGTGATCGTAGGTGCGACGCGCGTGCCGTACGAGACGCTGGTCCTCGCGACGGGCGCTGTGGCGCGTCGTCTGCCTATCGCGGGCAAAGACCTCGCGAACGTCTTCACTCTGAGAGGCGTCGAGGATGCGAAGAAGATCGACGCGGCGGTGAAGGAGGGCAAAAAGCTCGTCGTCATCGGGTCGTCCTTCATCAGCATGGAGCTGGTCGTCGCCGTAGCGTCGCGCAAGCTCGCGTCCATCGACGTCATCGGCCAGGAGGAGTTCCCGTTCGAGCTCGTCCTCGGCAAGGAGGTCGGCGCCGGGCTCAAGAAGGTAAAGTACCCGCGCTCGTGTGCGTGTGTGACCATCCGTGTTGACGGTTTACCCTTGCAGTTCCACGAGTCGAAAGGCATCAAGTTCCACGGGCAGTCGAAGGTCGAGAAGATCGTGACTTCCGAGTCCGATTCGTCGTTGGCTGGCGCGGTTACAATTACGTCGAGTTCGGGCGAGACCGTCACGCTGCCCGCGGACGTGGTCGTGATGGGTGTCGGTGCTGCCCCTGCTACGGAGTTCTTGAAGAGCAGCAAGGGCTTCGAGCAGGTCGTAGACAGGACCGGAGCCGTTTCCGTTGACGAATTCTTGCGCGTGAAGGGTCTGGACAACGTCTTTGCAATTGGTATGTGGTGATCGATCTACATGGAAAGTGTGTTAGCTGAAATGTCAATGATCGCCAGGTGATATTGCTCTATACCCCCAGCCGGGCACAGGAGAGCCGAGGAGGATCGAGCACTGGAACGTAAGTCGCTTTACTAATAACTCGTGCTAGGGGCACGGACTGATTTCGCGCGTAGGTTGCTGGCAACCACGGCCGCGCCGTCGGGAAGACTATTGCGGAAGGCAAAGGTCAACCGTTCGTGAAGGTCCCTGTATTTTGGAGCGCACGTAAGTGGCTGCATAGTCACCCTTGCAACCAGGGCCCCGTCTAACCGCCATACAGAGGGACAGCAGCTGCGCTACTGCGGCGTAGGGGCGGGATACGACGAAGTGTTCGTCGACGGCAGCGCCGATGAGATGAAGGTCTGTGTCAATCTACGAACTGGCGGCATCGCGCGCTCAACCCATTTGCAGTTTGTCGCATACTATGCAAAGGCGGGTGCGATCGTTGCAGTGGCCAGGTAAGTACAGAGGCTCTCGATCTGCATTAAATGGCGGCTGACTGGTCTTGTAGCATGCAACGAGACCCGCTTGTGATGAAGGCGTCCGAGCTGATCAGGCTGGGGCTTATGCCCACCTTGGCCGAGATCAAGGCAGGGAAGGTACGCACCCGGTGATGTTTTGTTGTGTGGACTAGTGTTTACGGATTTGGCCGCATTCATAGGATGTGCTCTCCATCGACATCTCGACGGTCAACGCCAAGCCCAAAGTCGCCTGAAGTGCAAACTGTATGTCGGATTGGAAGAAATCGAGTGGGATGGATGGAGAAACGCACACGCAGATTGTTGTATCAGTACGTGACACGGACATTGTATCAATTCGACTTCAGTGCGCTTGTTGTATTTTGTATGCTGGGCGTGCTCTTAGTGATCTTGAAGGAGCCGTCGACCTGCCGCGTCGTACGTGCGAGTGAAGAGGAGGTTCAAAGGGACAGAGGCCATTTCCCCGATCTTCGATCGCATCGACGCGCGCTTCTACGCCACAAGTACTCATCCCGGCTCCGAGTGTGGCTGAGACTCCTGTAAAGTGCTTTCGTCCTAACTTCTGCTAAAAACAACGGTCTCTACCTCGCTAGGACCACCACGACCACCCCACCAGCTAGACGAGCCTCCTCTATGACACAAACCGTAGCGACCGCTGCAGACGACCACTGTTCCCCATCCCTCCCAAAACCTGGCCCCGCACGCCCGGTGAAAGATCCGCGCGACCATTTTCAAGAAGCTCGCACCCATCCCCCCTCCGCGTCCGACATATATGCCTCTTCTCCAGAGCAGCTGGTCGACAAGGCTCTGCACGCGCTGCAAGAGGCCGGAATCGAACTCATCGAGTGGAAGACGCTCCTCTTCAGGCGCATGGGCGTTCCAGTGGCCCTCAAGGTACGTCGCACGCATCTTGCCCGTCTGTCGCTAACATCCGGAACCGCCTCAAGAACTTCCACTACCTCGTCCCCGATGCGGAGTTCGCGCGCGCGTCGCAAATCCTCGAGGAGGACCAAGGCCTGCTCCTCTCCCTCCCTCCGCGGCTGTGGCACATCCGCAGGATGCGAAACTACTTGAAGCCGAGTCGCGTCTAAACCGAGAAATGCTATAGTACAGATTCAAACCTCGATACCCCCAAAATGCGGCCGGTCCCCCGGATTCGCCGCCCTTCTCGGTCGATAGCTATTAGCGGGAGTCCACATTTTTACAGACAGATATATGACCCTCACCCGTCCCTATGAGCACAGTATCGTACAGAGCAAAGAAGAGAACTAATTTCAAAGAAATGCGCCATGGGAAACATACATGTCGTCCGCTGAGCAGAGACCCTACATTGAACTTGCATCACAGGGAGTCGTCGCAGGCCATCCCTTGGGTCTTGATCGACTCCGCGAGATGGTTTGAGTGAAATGTCTTCGCCGACGCGGTGCCAGGCATGTCGGATTCCGTCTCTGCCGTGATATTGATAGCGATCTTCGTCGGCTCATTGTCCGGCATCTACGCGTCGTCAGAGCGTTGCGGGTGCACAGGAGCAGAGAGAGTACGCTCACCACAGGGGCGTTCCATTGCTCGACCGCCGCCAGGTGGTTGGCTCTGGCGAAGATATTGCGCGTGGAAGCCTCCCTCCCGAATATCTCCAGTCCGCGGCCAACGAGGCGCTCGCGAGAGTTAAGTCTGCTCGTAACGTCAGTCCGTATGCGTCGTAGGATCGATGTCGCCGTCTTACACGCAAAGCAGCGTCATCGCATAGACTACGTGGTGGAGAGCGGGTCAGAATCAGCTCCATAGAAACAAATGGAGAATTATGTCTTGCACGTACTACGGGTGGGAGTGAAGCTGGTCGCAGCCCAAACATATGTTTTGGGCTGTACCACTGCCTGATAAGAGGCGCTGTTAGCGAAGGAGTCGAAATTAAGGCCAAAATCGAACAGACCATTATGGAGGGTAGTAAATTAATGAGACTGTTGAGAAAATACGGTCAACACGGAGGCATCCGCTGGCACTGTTGACTGCAGAGTCGTACCCCGTGAATAGCCCTGTGCTTGGGTTAGTAGCGAGTCGCAAAACGGCCCGATTAAGTATACAACGCACCACTTTTCACAACGTAAAGCATGAACAGCTCGTGAGAGCTTTGAACGCTAGGACTACGTATGAGCGATACGAACCACTTCGCCGAGTAGGTTCAGAGCTCACCGAGTGTAAGTTTTGCGACTGCGGCGTAGCCCGACGATGATGGCGCCCGAAAGCAAACCATCAGCGACAGAGGCAGGAAAAATTGCTGCAGAGAAAAGCCATTCGTTGGACCGATTAAAGCCGGACAAACTGCCCAAGTCGTTCCTGCAAACTTCCTGTTAGCAAGGAGTCACAGCACCTAGCATAGTGGACACTATCACATCACGATAGTGATGGCTAGTAGAGATGCGGGGTTTAACGTTCAGCATCCAGTACTCATACAGAGCTATAAATATTCATCGAGCTCGTACCTATTCCAAAGCCTGGGGCGGGCAAGTACGCCAATATTTACTAAGCTATCGCGCGGCCGTAAGAGAACAGATAGCACTGACCGACATGTACGACGAGGCATAGCACCTGTGGAACGTGATGAACAAAGTTGGATTGCGGAATATATCATCGTGCTCACCGCGAGGACAACGATCAACTTATATTTGAATCCGACTATGGCGCAAATATTGAATGCCTGCGCTTGAGTGACAGCTGCTAAAGGAGAACGTACGCAAACACACTCGGCGAGCAAAAAACCTGTAGCAGTCGACAACAAGCAGTCAGAAAGGCAGGCCTGCAGCTACACGGCGCGAATGATGGCAACGTGTTACATGCATTTGTGCGGTGAACGTGATTATGGTCTGTGGTAGTGTCATAAGTCGCGTATCGCAGACATGCGTATAGATTTCGACGTACTGCGAGGGCAGGTGAGAGCTATGTCCGTTACGGTTACGGATGGCATGTAAGGTCACGATCAAGTAGCGACGAGAGCAATAAGTGGCGTACCTTGAGGGACCTGCGCAATATCTACTTCAGAGGGTGTCCGGCCAATCTACAGCATTGTACGTACCAGGGCGGCGGCGAAATGAAAGATTGCGAATTGGCGTAATTTGAGACCAGGAGATAGTAACTGTTAACAGAGAAAGTCTAGGGAGCGAATCATATCTTGTGTCAAGTACTGACCATGTATGTATGATCATGGGGACGTGTACGGTTTCTAGGAACCTATGAAGTGCAGCGTTCAGCACAGGTTAGCACGTAGTCCGCGCATGAACCGCCTACATCACAGCGAAAATCTGTGTATAAATACGGTAAGCGACAAGACGTGGCAGCAAGACGTCCAGGGACTTACTATAACACGAATGTACAACGCGTCCGTACGATACAGGCGAAGGTATCTATAGAGCTGAAACAGACTGATTCCGTACAATCTGGGCACTGGTGAGTTACTCCAGCGACATGACATCGCCCAATAAAAACACGTACATAAGGCTAACGTTGGTGCCAAGGAGGTATGCGCCGTATGTGCTATCTGGAGACGGAAGCGAGGAAAGCGGATTGATCTGAGAGGTGGTCGCGGAGGAGTTCATGGTGCACAGGGCAGGTCGGGAGTGACTGAGGCGAGCTCTTGAAGCTTAAGTGGACCGCGTACCGGGAACTCATCTGGTCGCAGGTCTGGTAGGCATCATATCATCTGTCAATGAGAAGCTTTCCTTCCGGCCACTAGTTGATGTCAATATATAGCAAGTCCTTGAACTCTAGTAACAGGTGGCACTGCCCAGGGGAGTGGACGAACACGTATTTCGAAGACGTTTGTGGGACAGCTAACAGATGGAACCATACCGCAGCAGCCCAGTCCATACTCCCGCCGTTCTGAGGCCTGAAATCACTTATCAGACCAACATCATTGTTTCAAAGGATGCAGGGTACTTAGAGCGGTAGAATTCGAACCTTAATGCTAATACGTACTGTTGCTGTGCTCTTTACGTTGGAGCGACCTAGATCTTGCACTAAATATAAGTATTGAGGTTGTGCACGAGTAATGTTTGCAAACCGGCTCAGATGGCATGCGACTGCGTTTGCATGGTGTTAAATATTCGAACCTCTCGAGTGAGTGAGAGCCTCGTGGCAGCTACTATGTGCTGCTGCTTATGTAAAGGTAATTCTCACGGACTCACTCGCTCTGATCAGCTCTGATCTGGACTCTCGGAGGCCTTAGGCCTCAGGCCTCAGTGTCAGCGCTCAGCCTTTCCCCACTCCGAGCCATTCCACGATATTAATGACACTCTCCATCGAGAGCGAGAACTGAACCCAGCCTTCAGCTTGCACTCATAGGCAACGTCTTTCAAGTGGCGCAGCGAGAACTTGAATGTGAGTAATTTGGATGGTGTGCGGAATTCCTGGGCCACGGCGCCGTGTATAGTTTACGCCAGGACCCTTTATATCACCACAGTACTGATGATCTACCAGCGGGCGGCCAAGCACCTGCCGGAATCATACACAAAACGATTGCGAACAGCGTTCGGTCGTTTTCAAGTGACCTATATCCGGTCGACCACGCCTCGGCGGCCCCGCGGCTTCCGACCAGTTCGCCCGGGATCCCTTGAAGCATATCTGAACACTGAGAGCGGAGCAACGTTGCCGCACTCAAGCCCAAAACCTGGCTCAGTATTGCCGCGCGATGTTTCTCACATGTATACTCGCCACTGATCTGGTTTTTGGTTGTCAATAACGTCCGAAGGCTTCTGATAGGTAGGACAACAGGTTGGATTCTATCATGATATTAGCCCCTTAGGCTGCGCCCTGCATCATGACAGATGCGACCAAACCGGCATCACGCCATTGCACTCGATGTGCTCACCGCGGCCGGAACTTCCACCGTTGGTAACAACGGCGGCAGTTCCCCGGACCTCATGCATCGTGCACCGTGCCCTTCATATTCCTATTGGTAACCCAGGCGTCCGACATCGTTCAACTTCTACTTACTCATCTTTTTCATGTTTGCAGGCTGTTCGCTATTTCTAAGCCCTGTTAACACGATGGCGCAGTCGATATCCGTAGTACCACCACATATAAAAAGTCCATCACGGGGAGGCTTTTGGTAACCCAGAACCTCCGATAGCGGAACCACCGCCTTCCCGAAGGATGGATATAGCATAACTATGCTATTATACACAGTTTGCTGAGGTCGACACATCGGTACTCGAATGGCACCTGCTGAGCGGCGCGTCTTCCTCGTCATGCCCGTGACATTCATCAAGGTCGATGCGAGTATGCACTGCCCGCCCACCCTCAGGCAGTCCTCCATTTTCGCAACACACCCGCAACCGGCGGGCGCGGAGAGGTTTTGCGTTGCGACTCTTCTTCCTCCCTATTGTTGTTTACACCTTGAACCCTCAAAGCTCTGGACATCACGGCCGTCGCGGTCTGCGCAATCCTGAAGGGACCTCACAGTCCTAGGAGCCCGTCACGCCCGGATAGAAAGTGAGCGCATTTCACGTCCCCGCCACGTTTCGGGTTGGCGGTTTTAGATACTAATACATCGAAGCAGAAACATCCCACAAACCACACAATATTCAAGGCGATTTCTGGAGGTCTGAGGGGGATGCGTACGAATTCAAGGGGGCCTTCTAGACAGGGTTGGATTTGAGCCCCCCTCCTTCGCGCGTGGTATTCGGGAACGTTGACAATACATCCCCAGTCTGGCACGGCGCCCGACGCGCCCGCGCACGTTTACACAGGTATGTTGCGGATTGATCGAAACTGCTCCGCTCTGATCTTATCTTCACAATGTTTGTCCGCGCCGACCCAGAGCGTCGCAATCTCGGCGGGCGCGATGGCTAACGAGCCATTCGTTGCATTCGCAGCCTGAGCTCGAGACGCGCCCCGCGCAGAGCCCGCGCAGGATATCCAGGACCTGGGCACCTTCGTCATGACGGTGCCGAGCATCACCGACGTCAACATCACGTTCTATATACGAAGGGTGTCGGTCGTACGTCCCATCTGCGTGCCTTGCTTTACGCGTCATTCAAAGCGTAAGTTATGCCAGGGCTGCCCAGACGACTCGGGGACTTCCAACGCGGAACAATGAGGAATATGATGACAAGGCTATAGATCTGTCGGTGCTCGCTCATGACGATTACTCACAGTAGTGCTGATAAATGTGCTGCAGGAGAGGCGTCGAGGTGGGATCCGAAAGGTATACCGTGTAGGATTTCGGGAATCGGCGCGTGGTTGTGCCCCAGCAATGATGTCAATGTCATATCATGACTCATGCGTACCAACTGCGCACGCTCTCCGGTCTCTTTCATGCGCTGCGCGTGGAAGACATCGTACCCTACCGACAGGATGCGGAACTAATACCAGTCCGTGACGTCTAAACCAAGCAATGTTATAGTACAAATTCAAATATCCTCGACACACCCAAAATGCCGCCGGTCTTCGCCCCCTTCTCGGCCGTGACCCCCGACGCAGGTGCGGCAGCCGTCGTGATTATCAGAGCGACGAGGTGGACTGGACGCCAGAAACAGCGTGGCCACTACTCTTCTCGTACACGCTTGCCTTCGCTTCGAGTGCCTTGGAGCCATCGCCCAGACCGGTGCGGGGCCCGTCCGTCTCGGTCTCCATCTGGACGCCAACCTTGATTGGGCCGGACATCGGGTCAGGAACCTGCGCGATTACGTCGTAGTCAGAATCGCCCTGGAGTTGAGAGTCGAGTATGCCATCTGACGCACCTGCGGGACGTTCCAGCGCTCCGTCGCGGCGAGGTGGTCTACACGCGCGATGATGCCCCTTCCGAACGACTTCCCGTCGAGGATCTCCATGCCCCGGCACACGAAGAGCTTCCGCGAGTTCAATCTATTCGCGTGTAGGCGGGGATAATGAGCTCTGGAGTGAGTGCGCGGCATCCACGCCCAAGAGAGCCATAGACTTACACGGCGAGGAGGGTGTTTGCGTACACTGCGCATGTCCATACATCAGAGGCACCGATGACTGTGATCGGCGCTGTGCATACGTACATTTGCAGACGATGGAGTTGAATGCGATCCATTCGACGTCTCCCGGGCGGGCCAGAGACTAGATGTAACCCTGACAATCAACGGATGTGGATGACATCGGTATCGATCAGAGGACGTACCCAGATGAATGGTATTCCGTTGAATAGTCTACAGTCAAGGAGGATGTCATCGAAGATCCAAGCGCGGAACGAAAAGACGGTCGCTCACCCCGTCAGCAATCCTGCGGGTACGTACTGAGGGTAAGCATGCTAGAGCTCAAGGGCCATCGACGTACCGGTGTTCACCGCGTAGAGGAGGAAGATATCAAAGTAACTGTCCTTCCTGAGGAGAAGCGCGGTTCCGGTGATCAGGGGAACTCGCAGTGGAGGCGCGAAGGCATTTACCTTGGATGAGCAGCCCTGCTGCGTCTCATAGCACGGACAATGGATCCAGATAGCAGGAAGTCGGCGAATGTCGCGCAGCCGAAGAACGAGGGGTACGCCCATGCATAGGGTAGCGCGGCGTTCACCGAAAAGGCCTTGAGGCGGAATCTGGACGACTTCGGTTAGAGATTGATGCATGATGCCTAGCCAGCTGAGGTTATGCTTACAGTAGCACCGTCAACACTGACAGTTCCTAATCATGTAAACATAAGTCCTATGAGGAGAAGGGCGAACTCACCCAGGCCTAATGCTACGTTCACGGTGTTAGCATCACGTTTCAGTTTCATCTGCAGTATGTAAGAACGAGACGGCGCTTACTAGTTTGTGCTAGAAGAAGGATAACCTTAGAGAGCGTCAGACATACAGAATGTAAACGTTGCAGTAAAGACCCACGGCAAGAGCTACAATGATCTTGTGGTAGGAGCCTACTACATGATAGTAGTCACGGATGAGCGAGGTGCTTGTTTGCCGTGCGCGAATTGTATACGTACGCAGGAAGACTCTCCGAGCGAAGAACCTACACGAGAGCAGTAATTAGTAACGATTTCCGCTATGACTCCAGACACGCGCGCCGTCCTCACATCTGGGAGACTGTGATGATGACATTCTGTCCATAACGTTAACATCCGCGTGTAATACTTGATTGCCATAACAGATACTCACCGACACCACGGGAAGGAACTAAGGCGGCAATGTCTCGTTAGAGCCAATTCGGTACGGACGTTACGAGGATATAAGTTACATACAGAAGTGGACCTATGGCAGCCTGCCAGTGAGCGGGATACTTGGAATTAATGGGCAGAAACGGCTTACCAGAGGGGCAACAACAGCGCAAGCGGTTGATTGTAGCTCGTGACCGTCTGATGATAGCTGCGTTCGTGTTCGCCTCAGTCGCGAGACAGGCTTTGCACGCTGGAAGCCTTACCTGCCATGCATCGCCATGACGGCCTGAATGGTTCCCAGAACCCTATTTCCGGAGACCCATGTCAGCATTTGACGTGCGTGTCCGGCATCTTTATTCCGATATCTTACATGACCGTAGCGACCTGGAGCCATTCAAAGTGTTAGTTGAAGTCCCCCTGTAGCAGGCGGAGCACGCAGCGCACTCACAATGACTCGTATGTACGTTGTATCCTTCGTATACAGCCGGCAGTACCGGTACAGTTGGTAGAGACCAACACCGTAGAGTCTGGGGCAAAAGTAGAGTCAACATGATCCTCAAGAGTGACCAGAGAAAGAGACGAACGGCAAGCTGAAGAAGGTGCCTAGCAGGTATGCACCAATCGCCTGCTCCACAGACCTCTCTGCAGATGCTATCTCTGCCGCGAACGGAGATGGGATGTCGAGGACGGGCGAATTTCCAGCCATGTTGAAGGACAGTGGCGAAGAGATGGCAGGTTAGGGGGGGGAAGCATGTCGTACTGAGCACAGTCTTGAAGGAGATATGATATATCCGAATAGGATAGAGTTACCAGGGATCGAGACCGGAGAGACGTTGAATGATACGTGCGCCCATCCCGCACCACACTATCATGATGAGAAGCGGGAATCGAGGTGCTATACAATGCCTGTCAAAAGAAGAGCAGATGTTCGGCGGCTGTCGCACGGGAACGGACGTCAGCTGTGCGTCGCCGTGCATTGTCATAGGTGCATCATACTTAGAAACCATGCCGGTACGAAGCGTAGCCTGCGTCACTGTATGTAAGACCACACTGAAAGCATGGTGCCTAAAGCAGGAATGCATGGTCCTCCGCGTGCCTGATCGATGTGGGCACCTCCACAAGCCTTTCAAGACGTGTATCTTGGTTTAATCCTATGAAAAGAGTTGATACGTGGTCCTGGTCGATGACTCAGGCCTCAGGGTCCAGGCAATGTGTCATAAAATCTAAACAGTTCGCGAACGAGGTCGCAGCTGCAACCCAGGCGACGCGCAGTAAGTAGGATAGCCGCTAGCGATTTGGGCGTACTAGAGATCCAAGGGCCCTCACCGCGGGGTTGAGATGTAGAATCGAATGTTCAACTTGCATAGGTGTATGGTACCTGACGACGGGCCGTGGAAGAGCACAAGGTGAGCGAAAGAAAAGAAGCGCCAACTGCGATGTGGCGGGATAGAAGAGCACCGCCACAGGTCTGAAACATACGGACAGAATCAAACATACCGATCCCTCGTAGCGCCAGATCTACCCAAAATATTCTACGACACGCCAGCAGCTGGCACGATTAACGGAAGCTGGAGAAAAAGGTGCACTACCAGTGAGAAGCGCTGGTCAGTCGCGTCAACGTCGACCTAGTAGGAGGGTGTAAGTAATTGATATAGCCGGCTGAGGTCGCCTGCGTATAAAATGGCATAGAGGGGTCCCGCACGTCTGGAACCTAGTACGACACTGACCCATAATGCACATCCGAAATGTTAACCGGAGTAAAGCTTACCTGCCATGATACTCGCGATACTACTACTTAACCTCCGGAAAGTTGCGAAAGGCGATCAATCGCATACTCCGAATTTCTCTCCCGTCTTCGAAAGCTTTCTGTTCCCTCGCAGGCATATATCTGAATGAGTGGAAGATGTTGGAGAGACATGGTGCCATGGTGTTCGGAGCTAAGCAGAATCCCCGAGCCGTGAGAAATGCCAGAAAGAAAGAGCGACTGGGCGTCTATACTGCGCCTCACCATGTTCACAGTCGACGACCACGAATTTGACTATCAGCCGCAGGATATACTACGCAGACTCGCATGTGGCAGCTCACTGCGCACGCTTCCTTGACGATGCGATGGTAGCTCTTCCATACTGGGATCTCTCCTGGGCAAACTACGTATGTGACGTTCTCAGATTCTACATGTCTACCGCGCACTAGCAGAGAAAGGTGCAGTCCAATGACGCTATGTCGCTGCTCACTGACTCTGTTTTTCTTCTATCAGCGGCGGTGATAGTCCCGCAAACATGTTCGACTATCCTGGCTATCAGTGCTCGGCCAAAATCAAATTCACACCGTAGAGCATCCGACGGTCGATGAGAATCACCGCAGGCTCACAGCACATGCTTATCGGTGATACGGCGAGTATACCTGTCCTGCACTTGGCGTTCATGGCGAGCACTCCTTGTGTGGATTGTCGATCTGCCTGCAATACGGTTGTTCACAACGCTCATTCGCGCGTAGACCCACCGATGACTCCGGAGGGACTTCGCAGGGCTTCCTCGGTGTTCTCGGCCGTTTACCTCTTGGCCTCGACAGGACGGCCATATAAAAGATCGCGGTGCAGCAGAGAGTTACCGATCGCATATCCCTCTTTGACTAGATCATCATGTTGAGCCTGCCCAGGGATGCATCTTGCTCTCCTCCTGCTTGTGCGAGCAGAATCAGCGTCAACTCCACTTGCTTAGCGGACCCCCAGTGCTTGTGTGCCGACTACGACACGGTATGGGCGGTTTATTATTGTCTTTACGACATGTGCTCTCTCATCGACCTTACCGCGGCACGGACGGCACTTCTTATCCAATGCCAGGCTGTCGCAGTCGAAGGTATGTGTTCCACGACCTGTCCCAGTCCCAAGTGTGCACACCTTGCCCTCCGTCGCTCGTCTATCTTGCTTATGTTTATTGTCTGACTGGCCTTCATCAGGAGCCCCCAGCATAGTCACCTCCCTTCCCGCCTCTGCTACAAGCACAGTCCACCTTTCGACCATAACCTCCACGACTGCGATCCCTTCCACCACATATCCATTTCCAACAGTACAGAGCTCTACAGCTCTCCACACACCAACAACGGAAACCACTCAGTCGTCAACGGTACCATCTTCTTCAAAGAGCTCCTCCAGCCAGCCAACGCCGGTCAGCTCAATCCCGCTCCCTCGTACCTCCTCTACATCACCTCCCGCAGTGACTACACCCAGCGCCCTTTCCGAAGGTGCCCACGGTCCACAAACCCACGTTCTCTCCACGTCAGTCATCATACCTCTAGCGGTCGGCCTCGGCGTTGGTGTCGTGCTTGCTGCTCTCGGCGTTATCTACCTGCGACGGCGGCGGCGCCAGCGGAGTCTTATCCGTTCAAGACCGCAGACCTTGCAAACAGGGGGTGTTCCGCCCGAGGACTCTCGCCCCGCCCCGATCCGCTCCAGTGTCCGCCATCGCCCTCCTACCCTATGGCTCTCCCAGAGCAACTTCGCCCGAGATGGAAGCAGATTGAGCGACTTGGAGGACAACGAAGCGGATGATAGCGCGCTCGTTTTTCTGCCCACCAGACCCTCCAAGGCGTTCGATACGAGACATCGGGCAACGCGCAACCCCGAAGCCATATGGCACCGCACTCCGATCACGGGAGTGATCCCCCTCCCTTACTCCCTGGAACCACCGTCCTATTCGTCTCAAATCGACGAAGGACCTCGCGGCGCGGCGCTAGCAGGGCCGTCCACGAGAATTCGGCGGTCGTTCGTCGAACGGCTGCTCTCCAGCATAGGAATAGGACTGGCGCCTGCCTCCGCCGTCGGGAATGGGGCGGCTGCGAGAAAGCACGTCGCGGAGCCTCTTCCCACTTATGAGGCCTCCCGCGAAGGGATAAGGCTTTAGGTACGTGCCGCCTGAAACTCGTGAAGGCACTTCGCTGATAAACATGATTCACAGGTAGTTCGAATGGGGAACTAGTGGACTTAAGTTAAGGACAACGTACGATTCTTTTCCCGCTGCTACATACGGGATTGATGCTGACACTGTCCCTTGATCTTGCAGCCGTTCATTTGTACAAGTCGTACCGACTTCAATGCATTCGCATATATTTGGGTTGCGCTTGCCGCGGTAATTAGGAAGACGTGCGCGGGCTGGCGAGCATCCCCGCCAGTGCAGCTACCGATACTTCCCTTCGGTAACGGCCAGTAAACACGTCATCGAGCTCAGGCGCGGGGCGATCAAACGACAATGGTGGATAGATTGCGGAAAGTCAACGCCTGGGCGCCAAAGACGATTGCGCTCATCCATTCTTTGTTCGATGCGTTAGGCAACAACCACGTTTTGCTGACCCGGGTATATATAAGGCGATCCCTGCCGCTCTGACTTCTTTCCGCAACACCTCCACCATCAGCAACCCAGCCCATGCCTCTACAGCCCTTCGCCGCGACCCGTCGTCTGAAGCCTGAAGGTTGAGCTGTACAGGGCGCTCCCCCTGGAGAACACCGCACATACACTTATTTAACCGTGGCTAAAATGTCTAGCCACAAAGGTACGTCATTTTCTCTCTTCCGTGTTCCTGCCCTCAATGGTTAGTGTATGGCTACAGATACTCGACACCCTGCCGTTCATGATGACCTCGAAGAATGGCGGGAGTTCGTCGACAGGATCGATGTCCTAGAGGTCCCTGTGGAGGACTTTCTGGACAAGCTCGTTCCTACAAACGAGTCATACGTCCCCGGGGCCTACGAGCGCTTCCCGGAGTACTTCCCCATTATAGACGAGCCCATCCGACACCACGATCTCGTGCGTAAACTCGTTGCCGCATGTCGTGAACCGCAGTCACTGACGATAGATACCTTAAGGTCGCCTTCTTATCTATGCTGACGGAATCGCTTCCCTCGGACAGGAAGGTCAGTTTCTCAGCGGGATGCGGCCAAGCCTTGCAGGCGCCCTTCGAGATTCTCGAGGGCAGTCATCACCCACAGACAACTGCCAACATCGGAGTTTCACTCCCTGGAAACACGCTCAAGGGACCAGCAGAGCGGTGGCAGCAGCTCTCTATGGCCATCGCGGTCGAGGGTAGTGCCTGTTGCGACCCCTTCGACCGGGACGACCTCCTCTGCCACGCTGTCGCGCACTCTGCGGCGTGTGCGCGGAACCTCATGCTCGCCCATGGCCTCCTTGTATCCTTTGTGCTTGGCGTATACGGTCGCACCTGCCGCATCTTGCGATTCGACCATACGTGCGGACTCGTCTCGGAGGCGTTCGACTATACGAGGCGTCCGGATCTCTTACGTCGGTTCTTCTGGAACTTTGTACATCCCTGTCTAGGCGACACCGTTGTAGGATGCGACCCTACAGTCCATGCGCTCGTTAATGCCGACGTCATCTGGGCCGAAAAGCAGCTAGCGGCGATGAAGGTGACCAAAGCCATCCTTATTCCACAAGAGGGCCGCCGGGTTGACGTATACGACGATACCGATGCCTCGACTCGGTCGTTTATCCTCCTCAAGCCACTCAGCGCTGAACGGCGGCTCTTCTCGCGGGCAACAACGGTATGGCTTGCTATCGAAGACGTGCGCAGCCGAACAAATAATGATCAAACTGACACCGGCATGCCATCCCCGAAGTTGGTCATCGTCAAGGAAGCCTGGCGGGAAATTGAGACCCGTTCGGAGGCTCTCATCTACCAGATCTTGCAGCACGCCAACCAGGCCGAGCGTTTTGGCCTTCCGAAATTGGTGTGTGGCGAGGACCTCGGGGAACGGGAGGTCGCACTGTGGAAGACTGGCAGTGAACCCCATTCGAAGCAAGAATGCCACTCGTACGAGAACGATCCAGCCTCGCGTCAGCCCTTGTCGGACAGGTCTACGAACATTGGCTCGAGCTCCGCCGTCTACTCAGTACCCGATACGGAAGGGCTCATTTCCAGCGATGGAAAATTTGGCAAAGATGCAGATTCCTCATCGCGGGACTCGGATTCGAAGTATCCTCTTCCCTTTCCACAACACCAAACGTTCTCGTGGCGCCTTACTGGAGAGCTCGAGTATGCTTACCGCGAACGCAGCCAAATGCGCCTAGTCATCGACGTCGTTGGTCGTCCGTTGGCTGACTTCCAGAGTACGAAACAGCTCGTAAGGGCGATTCGCGACGTGGTCAGAGGTAAATGCATCTTCAACTTCCGCCTTATTACTGGCCGCCATCTCTGACACAAAGTGAATGTACAGGACATGAGAATGCTTGGAGGATAGGTGTACTCCACCGCGACATCAGCGAAGGCAACGTGCTCCTCGTGGACGAAAATCTGGCTTCATTGTTCCCCTTCACGGCCTTCCTGCATGACTTCGACTACAGCTGGTTTGCATCTCAGCAGGAAGATGCAAGCACATCGACATGCAGCGTCACAGCTTCGGGCGATAAAATGCCGAACTCAGACGACAGAGTACTCTTAGGACAGACTGTGGGTCTCTGGCGTTCTTCTCGACTGACTTCAAGCTGAACAGATACACAGGGAACGCCGCCTTTCATGGCAATTGAGATACACAAGCAGCGAACCTTGCGATACCTCGGTCACGCGGTCAGACACGACGTACATCACGACTTAGAATCGGTCTACTGGCTACTTGTCTGGATGGTCCTGCGACACACACGATACCTCCACATCTGGGGACCGAAGGCGGAACGTACGCTCTTCGGCTGCGCCGACCACACCTTCTACGCGAGTATGAAGGCGGTCTGGCTCGACATGCCTACAGCCGCGGCCTGGAACAACACGCCTCTGACAAGACTCCTCGGGCGATTCGCAGACGCGGTCCGCGCCAGCAACCCGAGCTTGCCAGACTCAAAGGGTGCGCTCCAGCCGGTCCACCTCACCCATGCAGGGGTCCTCAAATTGCTGGACGAGGCTCTTGACAGCGAGGATTGGCCGGAAGACGACGCTGCGTTGTCTCGGGCGGAGAGGGAGGCATGGCGAGCGCATTCGGCCGCCTTGCACCCGGGCGAGAAGCGTCCGCACGAGGGGCTGAATGGCCAGGAACTCCACGAGGGTGTATTGGACTTGGCAGGCGATCTAAAGCGAAGGAAGACATGAGAGATGTACTGAACCAATAACAACATAACCTCAGTTATCGAGTACCATGCGGATCATGATAAACATGCGGAGAATACTCACCTACGCAAACCGTGTGCTTATAAGACACTCTTGCCAGGGATACGATTACTCGCGAACTGCAATTACTCCTTGTGTGAGATTGAGGTATAGTGTACATTCCTAATGCTGCTAATGCTCAAACTTGACGAAATGTCCCCATATAAAACGTACATATCTACAATGCATTATCTCCAAGTAGCATAAATCTAGGCCATGAATTCGCGCAGCTGCGCGATATGTGACTCGCGTCGCTTGACGATGTCAGCATGTGTGATCGAGCTCCGTAGCTCGGCCTCCGTCTGTAGGAACTGTCAATGAGGTTTTATGCTGAGGTAAAGACTGAAGGCTGACCTGGAGTAGCTTATCCGCCTCCCACATGCGATTCGGAAGACTTTCCAGCGCGACGTAGACGGCAGGGATTGACGTGCACCGCATAAGCTCTTGCTCGTTGACGCGCAAGACGGCGAACGCAATGCGGAAGAGGACATCGACACCGTCCACCATGAAGACATCCCACACTCGGAACAACGTCTGCGCATACCATCAGCACCCCGCCCACGTTGCACGCAAAGACTACGCACCTCAACCGGAAGACAATCAGTGAACAACGAAAGGAACCACGAGAAGCAAATGGCGCCGAGGTCGATGCCAAGCTCCGTGAGGTGGGCAGACAGCTTCGGCATGAGGTCCTGCACGTAGTCGAGCAGTACCAATGGACATGCTCGAGAGCTAAGCAGCGAAGGTGAGAAGAAATCTTCTGGGAGGAGGCGCTCGATCATCGCTGCAAGAACCCAAAAGGCCTCCTCTTCGTCCGCGTGTACGAGCAAAAGAGTGGAGGTAACGAGGTTCATGCCCTGACAATATCCAACAGAAGGATTGCGTCTAAAGAAGGGTCAGCATCGTCGCATGTATACGCGATCACACCGCACTCACTTGCTGTATGCCATAAGAACTCGGCGCAGCTTCTCGACCCCAGCGCCCGTCCGGCCGAAAAAGATATTCAACGGCATCGTCCTGCATACGTCCTTCTCGATCTCTCGCACGACACTGCTCGACGCATCGCACTCCGTCAAAAGATCCGCGAACAGGCCCGGCTCGCGCATGTCCAGCGCGCCACTGCACTCGAGCCACGCCTTCGACCGGTACGCCAGCGGGATCCCATTGCGGACAAGCCGGTCGAACTCCCGCTTCTCGTCCTTGCGCGACGAAAGGCCAAACTGCGCGAAGCCAATCAGGCCCTCGCTGTGCTCGAGTTCCTCCGCCTCGTCCGCGGTTCCCAGCCCGAGGAGCTGTGCCGCACCGCCTCCGCCCGATGGCGCGTTGCGGCTGCCCAGAGACGCCGCCTTGCTCGCGACAGCCTTGCTCCGGTTCTTGAGAAACAGATCCCACTCCTTGCGCTGCGCCGCCTGCCGCTGGTCGTGGATGTCCGTCAGCTGTGCCAGCAGTCGGCGGATCGTGTTCGCGCAGACGTGGCGCGGCGTCTCCGAGTCGACCGAGAGCACTGACGACGTCGATCTGCTCGCAGATGTCGCTGTCGTCGTGCCGCTGAGCAGTGTTGATGTCCGTTTCCTGGCCCGAGTCGACGCGGGTGACGCCCCGCGTGATCGCTGCGAAGACACAGACGTGCCATCGACGGGCGGCATGCTGCGCACCGTCGGGCGGGTGCTGGTGGAGTTGATGCTCAGCGTGTCTGCGCCGTCGTCCCCGTCACAGTCGCACGGCTCCTTGACGATCTCAATGACATCGGCGGTGGCGTCTTCGTCTTCCTCTGGCCAGGAGTTGTCCTCCTTGCGATCCGCGACCTTGATGCCTGTCAGGCACGCGGGGGCGGTGTTCTTGCATTCCTTGGCGCGCAGCAGGAGCAGGACGTCGTAACGCGAGACGTCGTAGATGAAGCCGAAGCGGTCGGTCAGGCCTTCATGGCTTTGCTCATCCGACAAGGCAGAGAGGGAGGCGTCAGGGAGAGAAATGGAGAAGTGGAAGTCGCGGGCGGTGAGGGGTGTGTACTGTCGCGACAGGTATTGCGTGGGTGGCTTCGAGTGGCCAGGAATGATAGACTCGAGCGGCACCGAACCAGGCTTTCTCGCGGTTGTCGAAGGCGGTACGATGGAGTTGGAAGCCTGTGAGGCGTCGCCCGTGGTACCTGACTGCGGACCGTCAGTTGGATTCGCGGGCTTCTTCTGCTGTTGTGTAACGAAGGAGCCAAACAGAGGAGACGCAAAGGAAGGTAGGATGACGCTGGGCTTGCGGCCCTTCGGAGCTTGACGTGCAATCAGCGCAGCACCGAGAGTCCGCGACGGCATTGGTGTCGCATCAAGGTCCCCAGGAGATGAATCGGCGTCATGCTTCACTGGACCAGGAGCCTTGCGTTCCTTCTTCTCCTTGGGACGCGCGCGGAAGTCTAGCTTCTCCTCCCGCGCGTTGCGGACGAGGTCGAAAGCCATCTGTGCGATGACGGGACTAGTTTCCCGACCCATGTCCGCCAGAATGCTACTTGGGTCTGCCGACATGACCCGGGTCGCCTGCACGATCGCCACGAGCGAGGCTCCTTGAGGAGGTTTCTCGTCCGGTAAGCTCACGCTCTGAGAGGGGGACAAAACATTAAAGGGCGATGCGACGCCCGACAAGTCGGAAGGCATAGCCATAGGAGACAAAAGAGGACTGCTCATGGGGGTTACATGGGCTGACTTCGCTGCAAGCACTTCCGGTCGTTCGAGAGGAGGGTCAAAGGCAGAGATATCCGTAACCGACATGTTCCGCCTCTTCTTGACGGCGGCTGAGGTAGTAGCCCCGGGGTTGAGTATCGAGAACCCCAGCGTACCAAAGACACTTCTGGTCGGCTTCCGCTTCGTTGGTCTATTCGGTGTCTGTGGAATGGACGGTGCAGGAGAAACATCATCGACATCGGCTTGCGGTACTAGCGATGGGCTCTCTTTGATAGATTCGGAGTCGTCATCGGACGGGAATGGTAGTCGCGGAGCCTTCGTCTTGCCCTTGACCCACCACGTTCCTACCCAGTCCCCAAAGAACGCCTTGTCGGCCTTCAGTGTGTCGTTCGCGGATGATGCATCGCTAGGAATGTCGCCCTTCGCAGCGTCCAAAACGCGTGGCTCAAGACGTGGTGAAGCCGAGGAACTCCCTGGGGTGGCGGCGGCAGACCGCGGAGGGGGCTCAGTGGGCACAGGAAGGGTGGCCGCCATCGGCGTAGCATCGTCCTTCGGGACACTCCGCGAGATAGACACTTCGTCTTCAATCGCTTCGGTCAGAGATTCTGCCAGAGACTTTGCCTCAAGGTCACTATGGCCGCAACATCGTAGTCATGAGACCACATACCATGAGACTCTGCTGCTTCTGGATGCGGTGTACACGGTGGGTACCCTCATCATCATTTGGGAAGAGCGATTGCAAAACGCGGTTGGCGACCTCCTTCTCGGAGGGCTGCAACTCGCGCAGTAGTTGGCTAACACGCTCCTTCCGCGCCGTCTCCTTCTCCAAGAGCGCGCGTCTACTCTCCTCCAGTTGCTGCCTGGCCCGCGTCAGGTTGTGGACCGCGTGCGAGAGGACGCGCATGATTGTGTAGCACGGCTCGCGTGAAGACGCGTCGTCCGTCGCGAATTTGGATGCTGCCGCGCGTATTGCATCGTCCGAGTATTCGTGCCATGGAGCAGTCAGGATCTGGGATGTAGCGCCGGGCTCGAACAGTCCGCTGATGTGCTCCGGTAGTGAATCTGTCAGGATGTCGTACTTGGCGGCGAGGTTAGTCACGGTATCCTCGCTCGACGACTCCACCACGATGAGCGGTGGCGGCTTCACCGACCTGAGCGCGGTCTGCTCAGTCTAAAATTATGCGTGCCGAAAGCTACTCACCTGCGGCTGCCCTTGCCACGCACGCTCCCGTCCCAGTTTGCATTCGTGTACTTCGTTTGTTTCTCGGCTGAGTCATCTAACTTGGCTTTGAGAGCGAAGTAGTCGGGTGAGGGCCGCGGGCTATCCTCGCTCGGTTTACCGCGCGACCGGCGGCCTCGCGACGAAACATCCTCCTGCGAGAGTGGATGCGAGTGCGCAGGTGTTGATGAGGCAGAGGCCATGTCGCCGAGCGGCGCTGGGCGTCGTCGCCTGCAGCGTGAAGGTGGTCGTGGTGGATATGGTGTAAGCGGTCGTCGTCGTCGAGACTGGGGAGTGCAAGCCGAGAGTATCGGAGGGGAATATCAAGGCGACAAGTCCGCATTTGGACATAGCGGAGGCGTTGCCTGTCGAAATGACCTCGCAAACTCGCTCTCTCCTGTCGCCATCACCTCTTCGTGCCATTCACCCGCCTCCTCCGCCCGCTGCCACCATGGGATGGTTTTCGAGCAACAAACCTGCTGAGACTCCAGACCCGACGTCGAGGAAAGACCGTCAGCGCTGCTGGGAAACTAGAGATGCCTACTTTGCATGTCTTGACACCGCCAAGGTCGTAAAGCCTGGCGATGAGGGCACGGCGTGCGCGGAAACCAAGAAGACGTACGAGCAGAATTGCGCGAAGAGCTGGGTGCGTGGTGACGCTGCATAGGATAACGCGAGGGTATCTTGATGGTCTCGCTTGACCGTTGTCAGATCGACTACTTTAACAAACGACGTGTACTCGCCGAGCAACAGCAGGGGGTGCTGACCCAAGCCAACACTCAGGCCCGGTCTGCACGAAGTAGATGATGCATCCACCTCGATCAAGCAATACCACACATTTACGACCGTACAAGACAACACGCGGGTACTGCTTCACGGTGCTCGTTGCCCCGGACCTCCACATATGCATACTCCTCGTTACCATCTGTCAATGGCCCTCTATAATGTTCCACGTTAATACACCACTCAAAATTAGTGAGCCGCACACTTCTCCATCTCTGTGCGCGTCCATTCATCATCTCGTAGCCTCTATAATAGATTTCAGTGACACTCAACTGAGTTGCGTGGTCGTCGGAGCCGATACTCGTCAAGCGCAGTAAGCATGCTCTGAATGCAATCCTCGGCTTTTCTACCTTGTGGTGGCGCACGTCAACATTATATGTTTGATCGTCGGGCCTAGCTCGTATCTCGGTCGCACTCGGGACGCGTGGTGGTTTAAACGTTTAACGCCGGTTCTCAGGCGTTTCCTGGGCACGTCGGATTGGCACTCTTTCTTTCTCAAGCACTGTCTACCTTATCGTGGCATGTCTGCACACGGAACGCTCAGAGCTTATTCTTCAGGCAGTTTAGCAACCATAGTGCCTGTGCCACTTCTCCCAGGCCCTCGCGGACATTACATCGTGGAAGATTTGCCAGTGACTGAGTTCACCGGTATCACCGTGCAGCATAGCGGGAATGCGCTGCATGTACATACACTGCTATAGTAACATATAAGCACCTCGGCATGCCCCAAGACCCAGTCAACGCGAAAGTGCTAAGTTCATCAGGTTCATCATGACATTTGACCGTCAAAGTTGATATTTCTCACCCCCAAAGGATACCACAACGCTCGACGGATGCAATGCGACAACAATCGAACATCTGACAGAGCGGACTGTCACTGCGCAGCATGCACGGTCCCCTCGGGCATCGTACACACGCACAGCCCTGTCTGCTACGGTCATCGGGGTCCTTCTTTTGCGCGTGTCCCACGTTCGCACTTCCCCGTACCGCCGGGTGGTCAAGCAGAAGCATCTCGCCAGCACAGGTTCTCCCCGTTGCGCCACAATGTCCTCCCGCCATTTTGACAACTTAAAAGGAGCAGACGGGGCCCTCGACGAGCACGCCTAGCCCCTGTTCACCCACGTCGACGCAGACACCGGTCCCGCCGACCCCCTACCCAGCATGAGCCAGATGAACGTCCTCCCCTATGGCCTCATGACCATCACGTCAAACGCCAGCCGCAAGAGAACGTCGATGATCGCGCTTCCGTCGACCCCGACGTCCGTCAACGCCAAACACGAGCCGCCCGTGTCGAGAAGCATCTCTCTAAAAGCTCCCGGCAGGCGATCCCACTCCTCACACTCCTCCCGCTCCTCCCCCGTCTCCGCCTGGAAGCCCCGCGCCATGCTCACCAAGATCAACACGAGCCTCCACTCCCCCGACAGGCCCCTCCGGCGCCCACATGGACCCAGATCCGCCATTACCCCGCCTATCACTCCCGCGCGCGGGGAGAATCGCACTCCCATCGTCGACGCGTGGAAGTCTAAGGCCGGACCTAGCACGTTGCGGACATCGCCACCCAAAACCTCCCTGCCCTAGTATGTCGTCGTCCGTATCTCAGATCCTCGGGGCCTTTTCACTGACCATCTCGACTACCTCCAGCGATGCCGATCTCGAGCAGGACCCATTATTCAACATCCTGTGCGATCAGGGGATATCGCATGCACCGCAGTGCTACCGGCTGAAGCTCATCGACATGGACCCGTCGTCGGACGACGACACCGCGCTCGAGTCTTTCTTCTCCTTCACCGCATCCCCTGTGCAAAGCCCGTCCTTCGCTGCGACCTCCTTCCCCACTGTGCGTCAGCCACACCGGCCCGCTCCGCTCTCCCTCCCGCTCCCGAGCCCGTCGTACCTCAGCCCCGTCAGCCCGAACGTCGTCATCCGCGGCGGTGGGGACAAGGTCGATCGGTGGATACACAGCGGCGGGCTGGATCAACCCATGATGACGCCGATGCTCGTCGAGGACTCGCCACACGAGGAATGGGATGACGGCGGGCAGTCGGACTGGCGCGAGATCATCGACCACTTCCTCCAGCATGAGCAGGAGCACGATCATGAGCATGAGTATGATCATGAGGAGAGGGAGGTGGGCGAGTCGTGGCACCCGCTGACTCCCGTGGGCCGGGCAGGTCATGTCCATAGTGGGCGAGCGAACTTCTTGATTTGCTGAGTGGGCGTTGGGTGGATTGGCACTTGGTTAGACCTCTCGTTTTCCTGGCTTATGGGCACACACTCCTTACGACATCGTCACTCCCTTACGACCCACACGCGGTGCCGGTGCCGTGCACTTTGCATACTATCTATGGGAACGGACTTACATATCATATTCGGACCATCCTGGCAAACCCGTCGATGTAGACTTGTATGTACTCGCCTTATGTTGTACATCGTTTTCCCCACTATGCACCCTCTGTCTTGTACTGTGTAATCCACAATTCTACCTCGCTCGTGTCTACACCTAAATACAGCGAACTTGGTGCTTGATCGAGATCTGGATCTGGAGGCTCAGCAGTCTCCGCGCAGGCGCTTCCACTGACCTGCAATCCTTTCTCCTCCCGCGATCATCCTAGCTCTCGATGCTCATCCGAGGGCACGCTGCGGTCATTGAAATCCGATCTCTGCGGGTGTAATTGAGTTTCTGGGGTGTGATTGAGCTCGAACTGCGCTGGAACCGCCACCACCAACCGTTTCCGAGGCCCTCAGTACACTCGGAACTTTGCCAAACCACCTGCGTGAACGATGGTCAGATTCAAGGTGCGTTTCCATCTTCTCTATGTTGCACGTATCATGTTGACGAAGCTCTGGTGCTGCGATAGAACCGTTGGCTCCTCGTCGAGCTCCTCCCGGTACCCGCCCCCCTGCCAGGACGCGCGCCCGCAGGCCAACCCGAACACGAACTCACGAGCAAGCAGATATGGGCCGTGCTGAAGCAGAGCATCATCACGCACTTCGGAGACACGGGCTGGGGCGCGGTGGGGTCCTCCCTGACGAGTGCGTCTATCCTCACATCCATTCCCGGCAGTCACTGATCACTGTGCACACACCCCGCGCATCAGTCAAGTACTTCTCGCCGCGGACGAACTTGTGCATCATACGCGTCGCGCGGGAGCCGCACAAGATCGCATGGGCGGGTGTGGCCTTGATGACCGCCGTCGACGGGCGCAGGTACGTTCCGCACGTCGTCCATGTCTCCGGTGCGTGTATTTTGCGGACTGCGGCGAGCGGGAGCGCGACTGAGGGGATCTGCAGGCACAATAAAGCAAGCACAACTCGCCGCTATACGCCACAACCGTGAGATTGTAGCCCGCTACCGGGCGCGCGCGAAGCTGCCAGGTGCGTCTGTGACACCGCCTTTCCCTTCCTAACAGCCCATCTGAGCGGGTTGTGGCGCAGCTGGCTACCAGGACTCGTATGAAGAATACTTGCAAACGAGCGCCCAGGAAATCGAGGCATTGCAAGACTAGCGCGTACAGGTGCATATTGTCCGTGTGTCCATTTTAATTTTCTTGATGCTTACTTCTACCCTTCCTTGGCCTCTAGAGTTTTGCTTGCGCAACAATCGCTGCGCCAGCGCCACCCGTCTCCCTCTGGACAGCGTCCTGCGCCGCCTGCCAGCTTTCCGCCCACTCGACCATCGCGCTCACGAGCCGATCCACCTCCTCAACCGAATTTTGCGAGTGCAGGCAGATCCGCACGCGATCCGCGCCCTTCGGCACCGTCGGCCACGTAATCGGCCGCGCATTCAACCCGCGCACCCGTAAATGTGCGGAAAGCGGCCGCGGATGCGGTGTTAAGACGGGAATGATCGGCGTCGGTAGCTCAGCCAGGTCTGTGGGGATGGATATGAGGGATGAGGGAATGCGACGCGCGGCAAGCTGGGCGGTGAAAGAGCTTGTGAAATGTGAGCAGATGCTGAGGAGCTGCGTAGAGAGCTAAGGGGGTGTTAGTGCATTGATAGTATAGGAGACGAGAGTGCGTACTTTTTGTGCCTCGCCCGACTCGAGCATATCGAAGGAGCACTCCGCGGCGACAATGTTCGCGTTGCTCAGGGAAGTGGTATAGATGAGCGGCCGGGCGTAGTTCAGCAGATAGTCGCGCACGAGCGGCGTGACCAGCAAAATCGCTGCACGCGAAAGACGGAGTCAGACATGTCCAGTTGCCCGCGTAGCAAAGAACGCAGAGACACACCTCCAGTGGCTGCGAGGGCCTTGCCGAACGTGTGCAGACGCGCGAATATTCTGTCTTCCAACCCAAGGGCCGCGACAAGCCCTCTCCCTTGAGGGCCGTACACCCCTGTCGAATGCGCCTCGTCCACGACCACGTACCCATTCCCGTGCGGGAAGAGCTCCTCCACGGTCTCCACGATCTCCAATAGCGGCGCAAGCGTCCCGTCCATGCTGTATAACGTCTCCACCGCGACGAACACGCTGCTCCCGCCGCTCACCAACGCCGGCCTGTCTTGGCGTAACCGCTCGAGCGCCACCCGCAGCGCGGGTATCGAGTTGTGCGCGAACGGCACCCGCGCGGCCACCCGCGATGCGCGCACCCCATCGTGCACAGACGCGTGGATGTGCTCGTCGAACACGACTGCATCCCCCGGTTGCGGCACGCACGCGAAGAAGCCCGCGTTCGCGTCGAACCCGGAGTTGAAGAGCAGCGCGGCGGGCGCGCGGAAGAAGCCCGCGAGACGCGCCTCTAACGCCGCGTGCGCGTGTCCGTTCACGAGCAGGCGCGAGCCCCCAGATCCGAGGACGTCGGGGGCGGCGGCGAGGCGCGCGAGGAAGCGGGCGCGGAGGTCGGGCGAGCGCGAGAGGGAGAGGTAGTCGTTTGTGGAGAAGTCGACGAGGTGCGCGTCCGC